GCACAGTCGAAGAGAAAGGTCTTGAGACCGACCTTGAAGGAGGCGAGGGAGGAAGCGATGCGAAGAGACCATGGGATGGAGTTCCAGAGTGTGGGAGCAGAGAGGCTGAAAGCCCGGCCCCGATGGTAGGGCGGGTCGGGCGGGAGACATGGAGCAGGTTGGAGCCCGATGAACGGAGGGAGCGGACAGGCTCGTAGGGAGTGAGCAGGTCAGAGAGGTAGGAGGGGGCAAGGCCATGGATGGCCTTAAAGGTGAGGACGAGGTGAAATCGATCCTCTGGGGGATGGGGAGCCAGTGGAGTCGGGCGAGGGTGGGAGTGATGGGCTCACGGAGCCTGGTGCGTGAGAGTACACGAGCTGCAGAGTTTTGGGTGATCTGCTCTTTTGCTTACCCCAAATGGTGAACGATTAAATGCCAAAGACAAAAGTTTCAGCACATGACAGTTTGGGTTGAACGTGTAACTTTCAGGTTGAGAAATCTTAGAGTCATTGCCATCTTGCTTGCCACAGTTACTAGCAAGCGGTTCCAGAGGAGGAATGGTAACTTCCTGTGTATGGTGGGGAGCCCAGCAAGGTAAGTGAGTGAGGGAATGTTACTCTAATTTGAAAGGGAAAATGATCAAGTTTAGTGCTGTACTAAGCGTTTACCAATCCTGGAACTTGCTGGTTAAGGGTTAAATATACAATGCAAAATTGAACCAGAAATGTTGTAGAGGTTTTACATCCAAGCAGGTGGATTTGTTCCAATAAGCTTTTTTTAAAAAATCCAACTTGGTGGTGTGCATTGATCCTGACTGACTACTTTTAATTTCTCAGACCTCAACTTGAAGCCAAGATTGGTTCATTTGAGTGGAGTGCTCAATAAAGAGCCTTTATTTTACATTTGCTTTGGCTCCTACCCTAGGATGAAGTTCACACAGTTCTGAAAATGAGAAAACTGCGCATCATGTTTGCCTTTTTAGAACAGTGTGGCACTGTAATTAGCCAGTGAAGCACTTGACACTGAGTTTGCCAAGTAATAAAGTTCATCTGTTCCATCAGTCAACAAACCTTTTGGAGACTATTTGCAATATTTGAATACCTACACAGTCTGACCCAGACTAAATCTCCCAACACTGCAGTCTGTATATCTTCTCTGGATTGAAGATTGAAAAAAATAGCTTTTAAACAAAAACCATCAGAGCAGATGGTGATATAATTGTATCACTGAACAGGTCTTGTTCACACCTCAAGAGTATTGCAAGTAATTTTGTTAGCAAAAATTTCCACTTCACAGTGATGTGCTATATTTATTATCATAGACATTTCAGCACCACAACATTATGTGCGTGCTGTGGTACAATAACAAAAAAATTATATTTGGATAGCACCTTTCACATCGGGAGAACCTCCCAAGGCGTTGGGCAGTCAGTGTTTCAGACCTGAGCTGGGGGTCGGGATTGGGAAGGTTGCAGGGCAGGGGGGGAAGCAGGTTGATCAAAACCACGGTCGAAGAGGAGGGTCTTGATGGGTCTTGAAGGAGGCAAGGGAGGAGACATTGCGGAGGGACTGTGGGGTGGAGTTCCAAAGGGTGGGGGCAGAGTGGCAGAAGGCCTACCCGCTAATGGTGGAGTGGGCAACTTAACTGTTGTTAAGTCTAAATTGTTTGTCTAGATTAAATTGCAGCAGCTCATGTTTTTTGTTCAACCTTCACCTCTCTTAAGCTTTCCATAGGTTCTTGACCAAGTCTGTTTTGCTTCATCTTCCCAATCATTGCCCATTCTGTCCCTGCTTCACTCCCAGTGCAATCGAAACCCTCGTTCATGCCTTTACTACTTCCACATTGTCCAAATGCACTATTTAGTAGCCTTGAGTTTTGCAACCGACATTCTCTTTTCAAGCGCTTCACTTCTATCCAGGATCCACTGGCTCCCTGTTCCTCAGCAGATGCTTATTCCAAGAGAATTTGTTTCCATATTCTTTCCCTATCAACCTATGTGATCGCCTACTGATAGACATCCCTGCCCACTCACTCTGCCTTGTTAACTCAGGCCTGCACCACGTCCCCGCCCCTCTGCCTCACCTTCCGTGGGTGAGCTTTGAGCTACTTTGCCCTTGCTTTCAAGAACTTTTTTCCATAGCCTTCTGGTTCCCACCCTCCCTACTGTGAAGTATTTTGAGATGTTTTCCAACTTAAAAGGCACTTTATAAATGCAAGTTGTTTACTTTCCCTCTCTGTGATTGGAGTTCTCTCTTTGTAGAGCTGTAATAGGATTGAAATTTTTATTACAGTAATAATGTTCTACTAATAATTGCTTATCACGTTGAAACATGTTTTGTATTCAGCTTCTACTGCATAATCAACCTAGATGTGATCCAGCTTGTTAAATTGTACTGTATCATCCAGACAGTCACTCAGCAAATAAACCACAACAAGTCTACTTTTTGTCTTGTTATTCATTGTCACTTAAATCAGATAAACCCCCTGCCCAAGTCATTTGAGGGAGACGTTGACCATATCCCCACAGGGAGGAAGCAAAGTTAAGAAAATTGGACTGTCAAGCGCCAATTGTCAGGCTTGATCCTCAGCTGTTTTACCTATCCCACATTTAGTCCCTGTCTAGGGCTGCTTTCCTCCACCTTGCCCCCATTGACTGCCTCTGAACTTATCTTGCACCAAATGTCATTGAAACCCTCATGCGCGCCTTTGTCATCTCCCAACTTGATTTAATAATAATAATAATAATAATAATAGTGATAAAAATAATAATAATCCTTGCATTTGCATCCTGGTGTCCTGACCAACAATCTCCCAAATAAGATTGTTGGTTATTAACCATGGTTAATAATAACTTATTATTGTCTCCCAAATAGATTGGGCATTCACTACATAGGTGTTTGTGAGTCTTTGCTGGGCACAAAATTGGCTGCCATGTTCGCCCACAAAATACGTACAGTGCAATACTTTATATCCTCTATATTCTGTGAAATATATCATGTGCCTGTGCTACCTCAACTACAATTCTAAGGAGGGCATCCCTTTGTCCTTAACAACCATCTGCATTTAAAAAACATCTTCTAACCTCCCATTTTTACTGCTTAGGTAATACCTTGAATCTATGGCTTAATTTGAAAATCTATACAATTGCATTTTCTCCTAGAGGTGGTATTCCTGCTGCCGGACAGTTTGGGTATTGGTCATGGGAATAATTATTCTCTTGTGGCAAGCAAAATAGTCAGCATGAGACCAACCCTATCCTATCCTCACCCAACGCCCATGAATAGGGACTTCCAGTAGGAGTGTATAGATAGTCTAGATAGTCTAGGAACCTTGTCTTTTTTTCCTCAAAAGTGTTTCTCTGTAGCCCAGGAATACAATATTCCAAATATGACATCACTAGAAATTCTTAAAATGTTGAATAACTTATATCCAAGCTTTGGGCAATTGATTTGCATCTTCAATTTGATTTGTTGGTTTCCAGTTATCGTGAAGTTACCTTTAGTAAATAATCAATAGTTGCCATCAGATTCTTTGTACTTGTACGATAAAGTGAGGAATGTTCATGGCTCTAACACTCTGGACGATGTTTCTGTTGATGACATCTGATCCTGGAGATGATGCTCTGAGGTCAGGTGATCAATAATCGAACCCATTTCCCTGCAATAAACTCTTTTTGTGAGGCATTCCTCAGAGCTCTGTCCTTGGTCCCCTCCTCTTCAATATCGATATGCTTCCTTTTGGTGACGTCATCCGCAGACTTGGGGTCAACTTCCACATATATGCAGATGACACCCAACTGTACCACTTTGTCTCCACCCTTGACTCCAGGACCACTGCTGTCTTGACAGAATGTCTGTCAGATATCAAGACCTGGATGAAAGCTAACTTTCTTCAGTTGAACGTCAACTCCACTGTCTCGCACCCCAGGCTGCCGGAACCCTCATACACACATTCATAACATTCAGGCTTGACTATGCAAACTCCCTGCTTGTTGGTCTCCCCAACTCCTCCCTCCATAGGTTGCAGATGATCCAGAATTCTGCAGTCCATGTCCTCTCCCGCACCAAGCTCTGTGACCCTATCACCCCCATCCTCGCCCAACCCCACTGGCTTTCCATCCCACAGAGGATACAGTTCCAGATCCTGATCCTCACCTTCAAAGCCCTCCCTGGCCTCGTTCCCACCTACCTCTGTGACTTAGGCTCCTACCAGCCTGCCCGCTCCCTCTGCTCAGCGGGCTCCGACCTACTTCACATCCCCTGCCTCACCTGCCCCACCATTGTGGGCGGGCCTTCAACCACTCTGCCCCCACCCTCTGTAACTCCATCCCACAGTCCATCCGCCTCGCCACCTCCCTTGCTTCCTTCAAGACCTTTCTCAAGACTCTCCTCTTCGACTGGGCTTTTAATCACACTCCTTCCCTCGCCTGCCCTCCACCCTTCCCAATCCTGACCCCCAGCTCGTGTCCAAACAACTGTCCGTCCAGCACCTTGGGACATCCTCCCGACTTTAAAGGTGCTATACAAATTTAAATTTGTCATTGTTCTTGTTTTAGGCATCACTATAATACTCTATCTCGGTATCTCTCTCTGTGACTCTATACAACAACTACAACAGGATTACATTTGTATAGCGCCTAAGTTGACTCAAATGTGTAAAGAAACAGAATTCTTATACACATAGCTATTTCTGTGTCTGATGCACTGTGTAATTTTGTATTGTATAATTGTCTGCTACAGGTTGTGTTGTGTGTAACTGTTACCGAACTAAACTATAATTTAATCTCCTTACCTGCAGAAAGCTGAGCGCGTCTTTTTCCATCTGTTTCTTGTTGAACAGAATCTAATTTGCCCGAATCGTTCACAGATTTGTCTCTCCCCTCCCCCCCACCCCGCTCGGTCCAAAATCCCTGACTGTCCAGCGCCTTGGGACATCCTCCTGACGTGAAAGGCGCTATACAATGTCATTTTATATTGTGTTTTCCTATGCACTGATGTTTGCTTGTACTTTCTAATCTTCAGATGCACAGTATAGTAGCACACCTCCAACATATGGCTTTGATGCGGATCGGGGAGAAGAACAAAGACGGAGTCAGGATGCTATGCCCTACATTGATGACTCTCCTTCCTCATCACCTCAGCTCAGCTCTAAAAGTCGGGGGAGCAGGGATACTGTATCATCTGGGTCCTTGGAATCCACCAAATCGGTGAGTTCTCTTTATTAACAGCGAACTGCACATAAAATGGTAAATAATAATAAATTGGACTCATTCCTTCAGTCTGAAATTAATGGAAATTTAAAGAGATTAAATTGGGGACTGAGACATGAATGTGAGAATATAAATGATTTATTTTCTTTTAAAGGATTGCTACAGGTTTGATACTAAGTCTGTGCTGAGTTATCTGAATAGAACCAGGATATGAATTGTAGCATCATAATTGGCCCCAGTGCTTTAGGTTAAGGAGAAGAAAATCGGGCAGAATTTTTATCCTAATCATCATCCACGATCTTCCTTCTCCCCTGTTGTAGGTTGAGTCAGGACAAGGTGAAGCTCATGGTCAAGTCTGAAATGAATAATGGCACTTAGACTAGTTGTGGAGGATACATGGCACTCATTGAATTAAAGTCTTGTTGAAAGCAAACTATACTCCATTAAAGTGGTTCATACTTTTATAAGATTTTGAACACTTCTGTTTTAAATTTATTTGCTAGAGGACAAATACATTGATTTGCTATAAGAACAAATAAATGAAACTGCAGTATGTTCCTTACAAATGGCTGACTTTTGGGTTATCGCCACTTTCGCTTCCGTTTGCTGTGCAGTGTGCAAAGCTGGAAGTGATGTTTATGGCAACCTGTGACCCAGAAGTTGGCTGTTATAGGTCGAAAGCCGTCTGGCGCATGGAAGCGAATGGGCTAGCTTTACACAAAAGTAGTAAATGGGGTCTACAGTGTAACCATGTTTTAAGCAAATTTGTCAGTGAAACGTGGCTTCACTGTAGCGATTTCCTAGAAGCAGGACAAATCGATGCAAGTGTAAATTCAAAAGGCTTCAGTTTATGCTGCATGCAGAGATTTAGCCTGAGGCGCATGATGCTCTGTCCCTGTGATAAATGGAACTACTGTGGCCTCTGTGGGCTTTGGAATAATTTTAGTATGCATAAGAGTAGTATTAGAGCTTTCACTCTGCTGATAGAATAATAATATGCTTTGATCGTATATTTATTCCACTGTAAATCTCCTACTTTATCCCTGAAATAACCTGGATTTTCTAGCATCAAACTCTGTATAAAAGCTGATTCGGAACACAAATATGAAAAGTCCCTTTTCATAGGAGGCAGTACAGTGGTGGTTCATTGCTCATTCTTCTGCTCCAGAAGCTAACAAAGATAGACAGCTGTGGTTGTGTAAGAACACATTTCAAGTAATTCCCTTGCTAGGTATGAACAAGGAGACTTGGAACCAGTTACAATCAGCAAAGTCCAGGAGTCATGTTCTCCCTTCCTCCAATCTCAAGGGTTTAAGGGTCAAAGTTGCTCTTCATTAACTGGATCGTGAAAGCTGCTTGTGTAAGTGCAAATTAACATAGGCTTCATGCTCAGACACCTCCTGAGGGAACACCTGGGAGTTTGATGGGTCGAGGATTGGTTCAGTATTCTCTGGCTGGGGTTTTCCGTTTGTCAGGTCCTCCAGTAATGAACTGTATTCTGTTGTTTTGTCAGCTGGTCAAGTATGTTGCAGACTGTAGTTTGTCCCTTTCAGTATAGTTTGTGTCAAAAGCAGACTTGATGCCAGATAGGCCCAAGCAATAACATGATCTCAGTATTACACTACAATATTTGTAGTTTGTGTAGTTTGCTGATATTAATATTTAATTTTCAGTTGTGATGTCCAAGTATTAGAATGAGTTTGTATTGAGAATGGAGGTGCCTCTTTATCACATTTGAAGGAATCAATTATAGGTATAATTCAGTTATAATTATAGGTAGTCTATTTTAAGATGAATCACTGACTGGAGGAGGGGAGGGAAATGTCTCATATTGATTTTTCAGGCTCTGGCAGCATCAACCTCCATGGTTGCACACTACAACTCACCAAGCCAGTCAAGAACCTAGGTGTCTTGTTCGACCTTCAACTGTCTTTTCTTCCCCACATCCAAGCCATGACCCGCTCTGCCTTCCCTCACCTCCGTAACATCGCCCGACTCCACCACTCCCTCACCCCTCAGGCCGCTGAAACTCTTGTTCATGCCTTCATCGCCTCCAGGCTCGACTATGCAAACGCTCGGCTTGTCGGCCTTCCCAACTCCTCCCTCCACAGGCTGCAGATAATCCAGAACTCTGCAGCCCATGTCCTCTCTCGCACCAAACTCCGTGACCTCATCTCCTCCACTCTCGCCCGACTCCGTTGGCTTCCTATCCTTCAGAGGATCCAGTTCAAGATCCTGGTCCTCACCTACAAAGCCCGCCATGGCCTCGCTCCACCCTACCTCTGCGACCTAAACCCTTATTAACCCACCCGCTCCCTCCGCTCGGCTGGCTCCGGCTTGCTCCACGTCCCCCAACCCACCTGCCCCACCATTGGCGTGAGAGCCTTCAGCCACTCTGCCCCCAACCCCTGGAATTCCATCACCCAATTACTCCGTCTCGCCCCCTCCTTAGCCTCCTTCAAATCCTGCCTCAAAACTCTCCTCTTCGACCATGCCATCAGTCACCTCCCCTCCCTTCTCCCTCCCTAACCCCAGTTCGGGTCTGAAATGCTGTACACTGTCCAGCGCCTTGGGACGTCCTCCCGACGTGAAAGGCGCTATACAAATGTAATCTTGTTGTTGTGGTTGTTGTTTCTGTGTTTGGGATAGGGAAGCAGTCTTCAGATTGTTTCTATTGTGCAGAGATCCAGCAGCACCATGTCAATAAGCTAATGTACTTGAGAAATGCCCAGGATCCATTAACTGTTCAATGTGTAAAACTCTTGTTCATTTCACTCCTAGGAATAATGCATTTACATGCCACATGTACTGTCTATGATATTGAACCCATTGATGCTCATTGAGAAAAAGGCCTGTTCTATACTATGAACTTAGCTCTCTAAGAGGAGCATAGCATAAGAATGTCTTTAATGAAATGGGACCTGTTCTGCAATATTAACTGACTCAGTTTACTGGTCCTAGTCTGTTGTTCCCTAGGTCCGTCTTTACATCCGTCTTTCTGTCCTTATTAAAACATTGTAATACTTGAAAGATTGTAAAATACTTCTAAATGTAGATGGAAAGTTTTTTTTGCCATGTCAGTTAACGACAGTAGCAGCATTTTTGCGCCAAGTGAACAAATTAAATTAAACTAATTCCTTTTGCTTAGTTGAAGCCATTTGATTGACCATGCCACCTACCACTAACGTTTTTGCAATAGCTGAACAGCTTGTTGTGTTGATTGTTGCAAATCAAGAACTTAACAGTTAAAAGTGTTATGAGTGTATTATTACTATCCTCCACCAGTTTATGCTGTTGCCAATAACTATCCAATCAGCTTGAAGTTGTTCAAACTGAAGTAAACAAATCACATTTCAGTCCTATTAAACTTCTCAGCAAAACGTACATTAACCATTTGCCAATGATCCCTGTGTTTTTGCTCATTTTATGACAGTATTTTTAAAACATTTAACTTTGGAGCAAGATAGAGGTTTCACCTTACTCTGCAACATCTTCCTCCACCACCTCTCCAAACAAAGACACGTTGCAGGACTTTCTATCCCTCGGATAAAATTGCAACTCGACTTGCCTCTGGTAGTGATTGTTCTGTTATTCAGATGTTTGACATTTTTTTTTTGTTTCTTGTGATTAACATCAAAATCTCCAGCAAGAGCAGCATTGGATCTGTAGAATAATTTGAAGTGTTAATGCTGCTAGTTGTAGCCTGTGGTGCCAAACAGGGTTTCAAATGTCCTTTGAAAAGATGATAGCATGGTCTAGGAAAATGCACAGAACACATTTCTCTAAATAATGCTTTTCTCCAAATACATCTGAAGGTGTCAGTCTTCACACATTCAGTGGCATGGAAGTAAAATGTTTTTTGATGGCCACTTTCAGCAACAAAATCTTTCATTTTAAATAACGCCATTCATGCGAGTAGCATCTCAGAACACTTAGGATTTCAGTTGATATTGCTGAGGATCACCATTAATCTATATGCCAATACCTTCTCCCATCATTATACACATTCGACATCTAAGCAGCAAATACTACATTTAATAAAACTAAAGCTAAGTGATTCAATTATAGTGCTTTCTGTGATTTACATATCATAAAATGTCAAGTTTATAAATTATTAATCTTTATAATTACTTTCACCGATTCTAAAAAGGAAAATTAATCAATTGAATAGAAAGTATGGATTTTAATGAAGGTTAGCTAATCCACTTTTCCGGCAGAGAGAAATTGGGAGAAATATGGGGAGAAATATTGAGTTTAAAACATTAGGTTAATAAGAGTTAACAAATGGAGCAAATGTAGATGATTGTGATCAACGGACAAAGCTGTACCTGGAGGCCAGACTAGTGCAGTTCTACATGATCCACTGTTGTTCCCGTTGCTGACAAATGACTTCAAGTCAGGATAACACTTATCCCTCCCTCTCCATTGGAGGGAATCCCAAGAAAACTCAGTTGTTTAACGTTCGTGTTTGTTTCTTGAGATGAACGCCAAGATATCCAGCAAGAGAATTATATCTGTGGTGTAATTCTTGAAGTTTTAACAGTTTTAACATGGCTAGTTTTAGCATGTGGTGCCACGGTACTCTCCTAACTGTGATTGATACAGCTGACAATAACACTACAGTTGTCCCTTGAAAATCTTGAACTGAATATTATTGATTCCATTAAACATTCATGAAACATAATTGAATACTTATGTTATGCGGAAGCATCTAAATTTGCATATTACCTTAAGGGATTGTTGATGAATCACAGCAATTTAAAAAATTGATTTGAGTGAAGTACACTTAATAAAGCTCGCAACGGAGAAAACAACCCATAGGAGCAAAACTGTTTAATTTCACTACATTTTACACAATTAATAATAATACTTACATTTGATTATGTTGTCATTCATTTCAGCACAATGTCTCAAACGCTTTGCAGAATTTACTGTAAAATGTTTGACTGTGTGTTTCATACGCAAATGTGGCAGCCTAGCAATGCCCCACAAACAGCCATTAAGTGAATGACCATTTCTATCCAGGGGATTGTTGGCCACAATACTGGGAAAAACTTACTTCTCTTTTCAAGTAGATCTTAGATATGTGCTGAAATTGGAAAATAGCAGTGTGGAACACCATTCTATTGTAACATGCTTATATTTGACATATATGGAAGCATTTGGGATAAAGGACAATTAGCAAATTTCATGGATGGATTCCATATCTGAGCCATATGCCATTAGTCTGTTAGTTCCTTATTTTGCTGTTCTATGATCATAATGGAAGGAGCTGCCAAAATTGCTGTTGAGTCCTGTCAGCATTTTGCTTTGAGTAAAGAATTACACAGAAGGTCGCTCATTCACTGAATGTCTTCAAGTGCAGTAGTTGAGTCTGTTTGGAGCACAATTATTCAGGCAGTGATTTAGCCAAAATTAAAAACATGTTTCTTTTTCAAAACAGCTTCACAGTAAGTTATCCTCAGGAAATCCGCCCTGGCGTCCACTGCCAAGAAAGTAGTATGTGGCTTGCTCCATTACATGGGCAGGAAATGGCCTGTACTACACAGGTCTTGGAGCAGCCACACATGTACTACACAGGCATGATTCCTGCCTCCACTCAGTGACTTGTTGCTTTCTATAGCTTCTGCTGCCATTGCCTAAGTCTGGCTGTGATGAAGGTGCAGATGATCACTGGGTATAGTTGGTTCCCTACAGGGAGAAAAGGAAAGTAAGTGGAGCTACATTTATACATCCAAGTAGCTGGTTAACGGGTGTCATTGGCAAAGAACTGGGAGCAGATTGCCTGCATGTCTCCTCTTGCGCACAGACACTCGAGAAGGGAGGGGAGATAGAAGAAAATGCCAAATATGAGGTAATTTGCAATGGAAAGGAAATACTGTTTGGATTTATGTGGCAGCTATGCAACATTTTCTAAGAATCTGTTTCTGCAGTAAATTGAACATATAATTGACTTCACCAGTACTGGAGGCTGAGACCAATGTTGACCACACACGCACTTCCTCGAGTCATTGTGGATAACAATTGGGAACATGAACAAGTGGTTTTATTTTGCTGCTTTCTTAGCCAAGGAACATTGATGCCAGTTATAATACATCCACTGTTGCCCTGTCTGAGGTCAACTACTCACCACATATAGATAAGGCTGGGATGTGGCTGGTCTTATGGCTCAATACAATAACCACAGAGCTCAGAATGTGCTATATTGTACAAATATGGTGCTTTTAATTAATTGGAATGGAACTTTCTCTTTTACATAGTGAAATATAGCTTCAAAGTGACTACATTGCAAAGTGAAATTTCGCTGCCCTGTTGTTGAAGAGTTGCACTGATGTCTCCTAGTAACTCAAAATATTTAATTAATCTATAATGTCTTTCTATTATGTGACATAAAATATAGATTTGAAATTGTTAGCTATTGCTCAAAACACATCATTATGTGCATGGTGTGCTTGCTATTGTAATGTAGCAAATAATGCTGCATTTCAACACTTAATAGAGTTCAGGCCTCAGAAATGCATAACAATTGCTTCAAAAATAAAAGTGTAACCAGATTCCAAGTAAAATTGGAAGGCATTTTGATGTACTAAATTTTACATTTTGTTTAGTTAATCCTTGCTGTGACTCATTTTTTGTGATGGAAAGATGGAAAGAATTTCAGCTATGGTATGGCACAGACATAATGTATCATCTATATTTTCCTGCAGAGTGAACCAGATTTGGAAAAGGGTCTGGAGATGCGAAAATGGGTTCTGTCTGGAATCCTAGCCAGCGAGGAAACGTACTTGAGTCATCTGGAGGCACTCTTATTGGTATGCCCAGAGTTTTCTTTTTATTACACTGGAAAATTGTGTTTCACATTTAAGGAAGGATGTACTGTAGAATTAACAACACCCAAAAGTCATTTGGAAATCCTCCCAAATAGGTTCCAGTTTTACTTGCCCTCTGTTATTTTTAACCCTTATTTTTAGGTGCTGCAGTACATCCCCTACCCTCTCTGTTAAGAAGCAAGATGATGGGTGACCTCTTCGCAGACTTTTATGTGCCAAATGGACTGTAAAGTTTTATTCCATTGCTGCTTTGAGGCTGTTGGCTTTATTCAAACGCTAGGGTGGCCTCTCTGTCTTTCCCTCTCTTTGCCTTTCTCTTTCTCTATCTGTCTCTGTCTCTCTATTTCTCTCTGTCTCTCTCTGTTCTGGTCTTAAATACAATTGGGTCTGACTGTGCACCATCCTGAATTTGGGTGCTGGAAATCAATTCAATTGGTATTAGAGTGAACAGAGAGTAGTTGGATTGGGAAATAGAAACTTTTACTCTGATGGTGCAAGGGGTGTTCAGAATGTAGGAATTGCAGCAAAGTTGAGAGAGCTCTACTCTCCATCTAACAGATTTATCTAACAGTTGATATTGATACTGAGTGTCAAAAGTAGAAACATGTTTTTCAGTGTGAATGTAAATAAAATAAATCTAAGGAAAACTCAGTCTAATATATTAGACAATTACTGAATGCCTCCAGCAATTTGCCACATTCTGATGGTTGTACATACTTCTGCACAGAAGTGAACTTTTGCAAATGTTCTTTTTTCCCCAACAAATTGTGATTTCACATTCTTTTATTATGGTTTGTTTTCTTGTAGCCTATGAAACCACTTAAAGCAGCTGCAACTACATCTCAACCTGTCCTCACTCAGCAACAGATAGAGACCATCTTCTTCAAAGTGCCTGAGCTCTATGAGATACACAAGGAATTCTATGATGGCCTTTTCCCTAGAGTACAACAATGGAGTCACCATCAATGTGTTGGAGACCTCTTTCAAAAACTGGTAATTTCATATAAATTTTGCCGCATTTATAAGCCTCATTGGAGGCTTATATTATAATGTTATATATTATATAATAATAATTCTTGCATTTGATTTAGCACCTTATCATGCCGTTGAGACGTCTCAAAACGCATCACAGGATATACTGTAAAGTGGATTATCTGTATTTTGTTGGCGAACGTGGCATCTGCTGGATTGCCAGCGTGCTTCATTTAGTTAGCTGCTCAAAGATTTCCAGGTTTGTTAGACATGACTTGGTGCTTTTAAATATCTCCTATGTATGGTCCTTGCACTCTGAATAAGTATTCATACAGTCTCTGTTTAACTAGCAGTGAGTAGGAATCCCAGTTGTTAGTCGATTGGTGGATCACTTTTCTGTGGGTAATAATCCCTTCAAAAAAAATGGTAAATAATTTGGTCAACTCAATCCACGACTGTCTGTGGGACACTGCTGTGCGCAATTGGTGTTTGGACCACAAAATATACAGTCAGTTCACTTTACAGTATATTTTGTGAAGCGTTTTGAAACGTTTCGAAGATGTAATAAGACGCTATATGAAATGCATTATTATTATTGCTACAATAAAATTGTTTTATGGCAAACTTCATTATAATGCAGGTTCGCTTGGAATTAGGTAAGCAGGATGCATCCTTCCAGGGAGAGAGTGAGCATTCATTCCAAATGTGGGAATTTTCGGGAGTGGTTGGCAGACATGGAACTTGGTCTGGTTCTACCCAGCATCTGTGCCATGACCCGCTCTGCCTTCCCCCACCTCCGCAACATTGCACAGCTCCGCCACTGTCTCAAACCGTAGGCCGCCGAAACCCTCATACATGCTTCCATTACATCGAGGCTTGACTATGCAGACTCATTGCTTGTCGGCCTCCCCAACTCCTCCCTCCACAGGCTGCAGATCATCCAGAGCTCTCCAGCCCGTGTCCTCTCCTGCACTAGGCTCCCCGACCCTATCACCCCCATCTCTCCCAACTCCACTGGCTTCCCATCGCACAGAGGATACAGTTCATGATCCTGGTCCTCACCTTCAAAGCCCTCCATGGTCTTGCTCCCTCCTACCTCTGTGACCTCCTAACCCCCTACCATCCTGCTCACTCCTTCCCCTCAGCGGGCTCTGGACTGCTTCACCTCCCCCACTTCGCTTGCCCCACTATTGGTGGGTGGGCTTTCTGCCACTCTACCCCACCATCTGGACTCCATCCCGCGGTCCCTCCATCTCGCCCCCTTGCCACCTTCAAGACCCACCTCAAGACCCTTCTCTTCGACCGTGCTTTTGATCACCCTGCTTCCAATCCTGCCCTCCACCCTCCCTGACCCCGATCCCCAGCTCGGGTCCGAAACTCTGTCTGTTCTGCGCCTTGGGACATCCTCCCAATGTGAAAGGTGCTATACAAATGTAATTTTGTTCTTGTTTTTGGTTTGGATCTTCTAAAGCTTGGTGCTGGGGAATCTGTCCAAAACTAAACAGCACTCTCTAGTAGGTTCACTGAACAAACTTAACAAACCATTAGTGGGAGGAGCCTCTTAGTTTCTCAGTCCTGAGATAGAATGAGTTTGAATAAAAGGTAGTCTGATAAACCTTGATTTTAAATCTGTAAATATATAGGGAACAAGTGCCAGATAGTGTATTTGAAGGAAGAACAAGAAGAAAGGTTGGAAACACTATGAATGTTGTATTGTGGGTTATGGAAGTAGGATTCAGCACTCTGTACTTTACAGATAGAAAAGCCATGGAGTAATTTTATGTAGAAATGTGTTATCCAGCATTACTGTAGCATGCTCCAACCCAGCTGACCAAGGAGTAGTGTGGTTGAGAACAGCTGTCTGCATTAAAACAGCTACTTTTGTGATTTTCTGAACAAATTGGGTATTGTCTGTTCCTTGCCAATTAGAATAAGGTTATCACTGTGTACTGTATATTAGCTGGAGGAGTGCTGCCTGGCTTGGCTGCTTGGTTATACAACCCAATAGTTCATTTCAGCACTAAATGAGGAACTCAGACTAAAATTCCAATGTCAACTAATATTTGTACTCTTGTCTCTTTTCCTTCCCTAGCTCAAAACCAAACCAAATTATCATATGCTAAGTTGATTTGAGCTTCCACTTTTGGTTATACTCAGTGATGTTTCAGCTATTTTGAAGTTTTAACAAGTGTCCAAGATTTTAGTTCAGTAAAATAGAATACACATTTATGTAGCGCCTTTGGACGGTGGCTGTAAACTTCTTCTGTGGTCTTGTGTACAACATAAGCAAAATGAGCGTCTTTGTAATAATTCAAAACAATCATAAAAAAAAATCCCAGCCTATAGGAGAGGTGATGGGTAACAGGTTCATGATGCCATCAAAGTGAAATCTTTGCTGACAACCAATCTGGGAAACAGAAATTTTGTAATTCCGCCACTTTGAGGGCAGTTCAGTGCTGCTAGACTGCTAAATCAGCACCTTCAGGAAAGAGAAAGAATCCCAAATATTTCTTAAAATGACTACAAATAGTACTACAGTACTTTTTATATGGACCAATAAATAATGGATGTTAGGAAGCATACACGAGGGGGAGGGAATAGGAGGGGTGGGGGTTCATGTGGAGTGTAAACACCGGTGCAAACTGGTTGGTACAAATGACAGGCTGTGTAAATCTACAGTAGGTCATTTAACGGAGAAGTTCAGATGATGCTCAAGCTCGAGACAACAACAAATTATATTTGTATAGCCGTATGAACCTGGCCAGTTACAAGCAAGCTCAGTTGGTAACACACTCACCTCTTGAGTCAGAAGGTTGTGGGTACAAAAGCCACATGTCAGGACCTGGATATCCTTTTGAAGTCCTTCTGAAGAGACATTAAACCGAGGCCCCGTCTTCCTGTTTAGGTAGACGTTAAAGTTCTTTTGGCACTATTGAAAAGAGAAGGCAGTTTCTACGGGAGTCCTGGCCAACAATACCCCAAATAAATTGGTAATTCTCTCCATGGCTGTTTGTCTGACAACGCTGTGTGAAAATTGGCTGCCCCGTTTGCCCAAAACATACAGATATTTCAATTTACAACGTATCCTGCAAAGGGCTTTGGGACTTCCTCGTGACGTGAAAGTCGCTATTCTGAATGCAAGTATTTTGTTTTACTTTGTTTTGGCTGTTTAAAGACTCACTATTGGGAAGTACTGCTTCTCTTCAAATCTCTGAGGAAGACCATGATTTTGTGGTTTTAATCAAGACTGTTATCTACTAGAGAATGGTTTATTGTAATGAATGCCTTGAGGAGGACTGATTACACGTTTGGTGCTTCGAATACTATTTTCGGTATTTCGTGGATCAGAATCTTAGTTTTCGGACATTATCAGAAGGAAGGGTGGTGTTCGGGAATGAGTGGATTGGTATAACAGCGGTGGTTGATTTGAAGGCCAGCAACATCAGATAATAATAATAACAATAATCCTTGCATTTGATATAGCGCTTTTCACGTCGGGAGGACGTCCCAAAGCGCTTCACAGAACACACTGTAAAGTGAACTGACTGTATATTTGTGAGCGAACGCGGCAGCCAATTGCGCACAGCAATGTCCCACAAACAGTCGTAGATTGAAAATGACCAATTTATTATTGGTTTTGGTTTTGGAGGGATTATTATTAGGCTCTGTGTGGAGTAAGGAAACTTGCCCAAGGTTTCGCCCTGACCTGCCTGGAATTGAACTCAGGTCTCTCGCTTGCAAAGCGAGTGCTCTAACCACTGAGCTACAGGACTCCACAGTCATTGATGCGTAACATTTGTTTTTTCAGAAGAAATGGGGAATGACTCATAATTACTATATGTTGGTATTTCCTAGTGATTAAAGTGTAAATTAAATAGAACACATTGAGACTTGGTGTGTAGGTTGTATGCATTATCCCCCAACCCCCACCCCATTGAAATGTATGAATTTCCAGAATACAAGTGATCTTTTAAGTATGAGCTGTTATTTACACAGTTGCTGTCTTTTATGTGTTGTCATTCATAAGCACTGTGAATAATTTATGGAAAGTGCACCAATGGCCTTAATCTAACTCTTATCAGTTTTTAACTGTGATGGCTAATGATCATTTTGGACCAAAGTTAAATACCTGCTTAGTAATTTCTTATGTGTATACAACCAGCTTGGATTTTGTAGTTTATATTAATATTTTTAAAAACAACTTGCAGTAGGTGTGGACCTGATCATATTGAAAAGTCTTGGTGCTTCGCACAATAAGTGACTGTTACGCAGTCAAATGCAGCAGTTTATCTGCAGCAGCATGTTTCATAAAGGCAATGAGTTTAATGACCAAATGTACCTGTTTTCTGGTAAATTTGGATGAGGCTGAAATATCAGCCTAAAACCGGTAGTTCAGGGTATTGCTAATGGAGCCAAGTTAATACTCCAAACATAATAACTTACAATATATACAAAACTACATGGAGATAGAAAAGTGCAAAACAATGTCACTGGATTTTCATGCTATTACAACATATTTTGACAAATCACTTGTACACCAAATACGTAGACTGTTTTCTCATAACTACGGCTGTAAAAAAATCAGGGGCCGCAATTTTGTCGCGGAAACCGCAACTTTTACACACACTGCAGCTTTTAAAAGTTGCCGCAACTTTTAATGACTACAATGAGTACTTGCTCCCATTGCAACATCCACCTGATCTTCAACCCGTCCCGTTGTATTCTGAAGCCGTGCATATTTTTCCCTAAGATACATGGAGGATGTATTCAGGGCTTGAAGGTGACTCCATAGCTGTTTGTTTCCTCTCTTAGCTCAAATGTAACAAAAACACATTAAAAGATTTGGAATTATTTTTGTGGGAAGAGGTTTCAGCAGAGGATGCTTGTAAGAAGTCATTAGCTGTGAATAGATTTCATCAGGATTAAAATCTCAGTGTTAGTTTTGTTTCAAATGTAAAGTGATTATTAGTATGTCTGCGGGGCTCTTAGCCAGCAGGCGTTTGTGAAGAAGCTGATGGATTTATCCATGTTTGCAAATCTAAAGGATCGGAAATGCAGAATAAATATGCTGCTTTTTATGTCTGCAGATTTTAATGAGTTCTGTGACGCAGGCATTACGCCTTGAAACTTTGGAACTCGCTCCCCAATTCCTCTGCCTTGGTCCTTCCTTCCCCTCTTTTAGATCAGGTTGTTTTTCTGACTGAAGGGAAGTATGCAGTGGTGTCCCCATGTCGGTATTGGGACCACTGCTGTTTTTGATCTGTATAAATGACCCGGACTTTGGTATAGAAAGTACAATTTCCAAGATTGCAGATGATAGTAAGCTAGGAAAAGTAATAAACAGTGAGGAGGATACTAGTAGATGACAAGAGGAAATAGACAGACTGGTAAAATTGGGCAGACATGTGGCAGATGAAGTTTAATGTGGATAAATGTGAATGAAAAGAGGTAATGTAAGATGATGGTACAATCTTAAAGAGGGTAAAGGAACAGAGAGACCTGGGGGTTTATATAAGTAAATCTTTGAAGATGGCAGGACAGGTAGACTGGGTTCAGTTCTGGGCATCGCACTTTAGGAAGGATGTCAAGCCATTGGAGAGTGCAAAGTAGTTTTACCAGGATGGTACCAGGAATGAGAGACTTCAGTTATGAGGGGAGGCTAGACAAGCTCGGATTATTTTCCTTGGAGCAAAGAAGGTTAAGAGGAGACTTAATACAAGTTTTCAAAATTATGAGGGAATTCGATAGGGCAAACAAGGAGAAACTATTTCTACTGGCGGGTGGGTCGGTAACCCGAGGACACCGATTTAAAATAGATGTTAAAAGAAACAGGGGAGGTGAGGAGAATCTTTTAGCATTGCATTGAGTTATTATTTGAACTTAACCAAAAAAAATCATCCTGACATGCAAGGTGCTTTTTTAAATGCAGTTTGTTGTTGTGGCCCGCGGAAGTTAAATTGTTGGGAAGGCAGAAAAACAGGTCAGACAAGTCTCTCTGGCTACTCTCCTCACTATATAAAAATGTCCAAGTGGGAGAGGAACACTGGAATGTCGGAATCAAGCCAGCTCTCTGTGACAGTCTCTAGTCCAGTTCCTGAACCAGGCAGGTCCACAGTATTCCAGGGCACTGCTGGTGACAGCACAGCCAATCTGGCTCATCGGCAGGACTTGGAAGTGCAGACCAGTCACTGGAGGCAGGGAATCCTCCCACTCAGCTCCTGTTAACCCTGCAAACCAAAGCCATAATGGGTAGGGTGGTCCTAACTGGATAAACAGTGGGAAAGCTTGCCAGACAGCGATATCAATGACAATCTATGTGGTTTTAGCTGATTAAACTCCAGCAGTTACCCCAACGCACACTCTGGGGCTCCCCAAGCCTTGGCTCTTGCCAACCTGCGCCTAATACTTTCCGGAAGTAGGTAAGTGGGATGTATCCCTCCAAAGAAAGAGAGAACATTCCATTCCAACAATCTATCGCTGGGATTTCCATGTGTAGGTGGGATACGTGGAAATCTCAGATTGGTTTGGAGACTCTTAAGCAGGTGATGGGTTTCTGTATGTGTTGACACTCAGCTGACCAGAAAAAAGGCATATTGAGTCCTGTGCTTCCATTTGTTCACACCCTGAGGTTGCTTTTTTTTTAAAGGAATTATTACTTCCAGAAAAGCGATCCGACAATTGACTGACAACCGGATTCCTACTTCCGGCTAGGTAAATGGGCATGTGGAGTAAGGAAACTTGTCCAACATTTCGCCCTGCTGAGAATCTAACCCAGTGAGGCGAGTGCTCTAACCACTGAGCTACAGGACTACAGTTTTCTCAGTTAGGCTGCCACAGGAAGGGGTCAATAGAGGCCAGGCTAAGGAAGGTCTTACATCTCTTGGCTATTCACGGCGGTAGTCAATCGATAAAGTCTTGAGAGCAAGAATGAGAATAAAAGACATACAGAGCCCAGTTCGTTACATCTCTCTCGTGACCTGTTGAATAGTTTTAGAATATTTACTGATAGCATTCAGGAATAATGGGCATATGGGTGAAGGGTTTGTAACTGGGCACAGCACAATCGACTGCCTTCGTGGCAATTGGAAACTACAATTGGAAACAATTGGAGTTTTATTTTGTGTTTTGTGATGAAGAGAAATGTAATCCAGTTGTAGTTTAAAGGGAATGAGAAACAGGTGCTCAAGTTGTTCTTCTCCAAACCATCTCCAATATATCAGTGGTCTTTTGAAAGTAGTCTAAATGTGAACTATATTGTGTTAGGGTAACTGTTCCTTCTACCCTCTGCATTGCAGGTATCTTGTGTATTGTAAGATTCCCCTTTTAGGCTAAATGATCTATTCTCATTCCTTCATTGACTGGAGGACAGGTGTAGTTAATTTTGTCATTAAATACCCCATGACACTATTTGAAAAGAGGAGGAAGTTACTTCTATTGTCCAGAACAACAATAACATTTTGTCATTTACTTTGTGGCTGTTTGCCACAATTCTTTGCCAGGTTTGCTTACAAATATAGTTGTTGTACTTTGCAATAAATGTTATGATATGCTTTGTTACGTTTCAATAACTTGATAAGGTGCCATATCAACTGCAAGTACTGTATTATTAACAGAATGGTGTTGAACTTTCTGGACTAGCTTTTGCATTTTACATGTCACTAGGTGTTTGCTAATCTATCTTGTTTTCTTGTTTGTTATACAGGCCAGTCAGCTTGGAGTGTACAGAGCATTTGTGGATAATTATGAAGTTGCCGTAGAAACAGCAGAAAAATGCTGTCAAGCCAATGCACAATTTGCTGAAATCTCAGAGGTATTCTCTTCCTCTAAATCCCAAGCAAATAGGACATCTAGAGGAAAGCCCAACTGCCTCAGTCTTTCCTTGTATCTTAAATCCCTAGATCACATGTCACCATCAATTCAATTGTTTAAGAAAGGAATTTTATCATCTAGAATGTATAGGAGACTCAGGAATCAGCTCAGTAAAGAATATTTCTAGGCCTTCTCTCAGACAGAGAATCAGCCCCATTACTCTTACATTATTTGCATGGGCTAACAAACTAAAGTTATTTAATTTGCTATGAAAGGGATAAGGATGCACTTTCTAACATCTAAAAGTGAGAACCGGGGCAAGCCCTACCACCGAGATTACCCAAGGCCCTGATTGTTAAATGTAACCGGATTATATCCTGTAACCTGTATTGCTCAACTGAAAAAAAAATCTGGTCCTGTACATCTGTATATTTAATGAAAAATCTGACAAGATGCCTCTATTTTATTTTAGAATTTAAAGATCAGGAGCACTAAGGACGCAAAAGATCAAACCACAAAGAACTCCTTGGAAGGTAAATACTTCCTTAAGTTTCTAGAAATCATAGGTAGCTGTTTTTCTAATTTGAATCTTAACTACATATATCGTTTCTACAAGAAAATCTTCTGTAGCCAAAGCTAGAAGCGTTGTCCTTTGAATTCCATTAACTCCTTCACAGCTCATATTGAGGTTATATATTCAGCTGTCTTAGCAAGGAATTTAATGCAAAAGTTCTGGTTAACATCCACATACAATATACTGTAGCAGGATCGGGGCAATAAGGGGAAATAAAGGTGTCTTCTGCAGCTACTAAAGCGCACTGTAGTGAGAGTTAGCCAATGTCCGTGTGTTGTCAAACTTGCTATCGTGCCTCACTATAATATGATTGGGAATTTACAAATCCAAGCACCGACTGTGAATAACAGTGCACCCAGAACTCTGTTTCTCACTGCTCTCAGACCAATTTTCTTTTCATTTATCATTTCTCTTTTCTATGGCTGTGCCAGTATTCAAACTGATCATTTGATGATAAATAATAATATAATAATAATCCTTGCATTTGATATAGCACCTTATCATGGCTTTGAGATGTCTCAAAGGGCTTCACAGAATATATTGTAAAGTGAATAGACTGTATATTTTGTGGGCGAAATGATTAACATATATGCACGTTTTTAAGTTCTTTGTTTATAAGCCTCATTCAATGTCTATGTAAAGCCGCGTTTAAGCACTTCTTGCAGTGTCTTAAGGACACCTTTGTGAGAAATTCAGGGTGCTGTTTGGTGACCAGTGATGGTTCTAATTCATAAATAATATAGAAGAAGGAACTCATAATCTTTCTTATGTCCTTTCTACAGCTAAATAGCTCTTACATTTAATTCAAACTCCATAAACAACTAAGTTAATATTTTTGTTTGTCAGCAATTAATTATACATTTAATAGCATGTATTGATTGTTATTGATTAAAATTATGTTGTCTGGTACCTTTGTGTGGCTAGACATGCAACTGACCAAACTAAAATTGATTACAGTATGTGACTTGCACATCTGCTGAATGATCTCTTTTCATTGATATTCATATTTTCTCAGCTCTTCTGTATAAACCCGTCGATCGAGTCACACGAAGCACACTTGTTCTTCATGTAAGTGCAGAAGAGTATATATATATTCATCTCATTACTTCCAATTGTATGTAGTTTTATTCATGATGGTCAGAGCATCACTATGAAACTATTTTAGGCAACAACTGTGTACTGATGCTATTGACAACATCTTATTGGGTCATTAATGGCAAATTCTGAATGACACATAGTTAACTTGCCAGCATCATTAGTAAAGTAAACCCACAAATTCTTTGCAAATAATAAGATAGTTTATGAGTAAAATGTCCAGTCTGTTTATTAACTTATAATGTCTAGCAAGCAATATGTGACTATGAAGCTGCCCTGTATAATTTGCACTTTGGGGTTGAGTTAGGAAGGAGTCTCACAAACGGGGTTTTGGAATAGTTGAGCTTAGATGTGAATGAGCAAGAAAAGCGGGTGGTGTCGGCTATGGCAGATGATTGAGAACCCGGATGTGAGGTTTGAAAGATTGTATTATAGCAAGAGACCCCGGTTGTTCACTTCACAAAGGAATCTCAATGAGGAGCTCATTTAGTTTTCATATGGAATAAAGGACATATGAGAATGATTGCAGAATGCAATGATGTAGATTTGTTCTTTTATTGAGGTGAAGTGCAATAACAACTCTTTAACAATAGCAGTCTTGTGGACCCAGAGAGGAACTCACTCTCTCTCATGTCTCTTTCTGTTATGGAGAGCAATCCCGATGTTCCACTTACTTGACATTTGATGATGCCTTTACTTAACAAATAATGATCGTGAGTTATCAAGAGACAGTGTGCAGAAGATTACCAGGAACTCATTATAACCCTTGTATTTCTATAAACTGATCACTTCCCTCCCTTTTGACTTCCCTGGACTATTCCCAACTGAAAGGATAGAGCCAGTTGCCTGTTACCAAGATCAGGATCATACCATGGGCTAGAACCTGCTGTCTGGCAGTTTGCAATGCACTTTGGTTCAGAGAAGGTTTAGAGGAGATTTATTAGGATGATACCAGGGATGAGTGGTTTGACCTATGAAGTGGAGGAACTGGATCTATTTGATTAGATAACTAAACTAAGTGAATGTATCACAGATATTCTGAACTGACAGTCAGAGAAAGAAAGAAGATTGAATCTGAATAGAAGACAATGGGATGTTTGTAGCTGGAGCTGTAGGTTCCAGGCCCGCACAATCAGCTTATTTACATTACAGCTAAGTAATCAAGGTGCTGTAACTAGTTTATCCTAGTAAACAGGGTCTTTCCAGTAACCAAGTATCCTAAGACATTCTTACAATCATTTTACTGAGGTGAACATCTGATCCCAATAAATTGAGGTAAGTTTGAGATTAACTTACTATCTCCTGAGGGTGTACGTGAGGGTATCCTAAGCCTGAATACATTTATCTTGTATCTGTAGGATTTGTTAAAACACACGCCGGTCAATCACCCGGACCATTCCCTATTGCAAGACGCACTCCGCATTTCACAGAACTTCCTCTCGAGTATAAATGAAGAGATCACTCCCAGACGCCAATCAATGACTGTGAAGAAAGGCGAGGTGAGTGTCTCTCTGAACTATTGTAAAAGTAAACCTGTAACTCCTCTTCCCACTGTATTCTTATGTTAGCCAACGCTTTGGGGCGTCCTCCTGATGTGAAAGGCGCTATACAAACCCCACGCTCAACATGAAGTGAATAATCAATTCGACTTTCCGTGCTCCACTTTAATTTTAGCATAAAATTTTGATATGGTATGAAATAAGCATTTCCATTCCTTTATGAGCTTGTTCAAAGTGCCACACCCATGGATGTTGTATTTAGTTACTCATGCTGATTGTATGTCTATAATGAAATACATTTGATGTGTAATTTTCTCTCAGTAAATCTCTAAATGGTAGACGGGTTGTTAAATTAATAAGAGATTGCACAGTTCAGGATCGGTGGAATCTCTGACTTGAGATCCAAGGCAGTCTGATACTTATCTCTATTAAAAGGCCTGAATTAATTGTACAATCTTTGCATCTGCCCTGACCTTCAATCTGATCTGTATAGTGAATTCTCTGGCCAACAATCCCTCAGACAAAATTGTTCATTCACTTAATAGCTGTTTAGAGCTTTTGCGACGACGACGACAACTTACACTTTATAGCGCCTTTCATGTCGGCATGTCAACAGTTGTCCTGGCCAACAATCTTCCAGATGACCATTCATTCACTTCTGGCTGTTTTGGGGACATTGCAGTTTGCACATTGGCTGCTACCTTTGCCTTTGGGGTCTCCTCGGAGATGAGCAGGCTCCAAGGTGACATGCAAAGACTTTTACCCTAAACCTGACATGTTGTCCCTGGCCTCAGCAAGTGCTGTAAAATGAGAACAGAACAAAATGTTGAGTGCACTGGTGCACTGGTAAAAGGAAAAAGAGAAAACATTTATTATCTCTTAAATCGTAATAATTCCTTAAAAAAAAGTCAATCCATGACTGTTTGTGAGACACTGCTGTGCGTAATTTGCTGCTGCATTTCGCCCACACAATATACAGTCAATTCACTTTACTGTATATCCTGTGAAGTGCTTTGAGACGTCTCAAAGACGTGATAAGGTGCTATATCAAATGCAAGGAATATTATTATTATTAAGAACCCTGTAGCTAATTGAGGACTCTGTGCCGGTAGATGTTTCTCTTGTAATGATTTGCACAAGGATTGTCAGAATAGAAGGTTTGATAATGATTAGTTTTTTCAGTTGCTTAATTTCTGTTGTATTGTTATCTATTGCTGATTCTGTAGAATTTGGAAATGATGCACTTTATTATACCTGTTGATGGATATACTGTACATAATTCCAAAGGCATCGACTACTTCTTCATGGTTGAATCCTGCCCTCTGCTGGAAATGTTTTGAAAAGACATGAATGCATGAGTGAGGATATTTTAGTCATAGGAACAGGAATTTAAAAAAAAGAGATTCACATGATTCTGTTTTGATACAATATTTTTGTGATTCCACAACATTTCCTTTTCCACCAGTTATAGGAAAAGGCACATCAAAAACTCAGAGCATTAATGCATTAATTCTGAACAATAATTTGACAGTATATTCTGCAGTGATGACATAATCACTTCTAAGTCTTCAATCATTGTAACTTTGACAATACTATAAATTCTCATTGTATTGAGTGCTTGCATAAAATGTTTAAAAGTGATGCCAAAGAGTCAGTAAAGAGCTGTGTTTATAGGACTGCATTTTTAAAGCCATTCAAAACACAGGAGATTCATTCTCCTAAGTGTAATGTTATCAGGATCGCTGTTAGCTAGAACTTTAATTTTCCAACCACATCTCAACTTGTCAGTATTTGATCGCTGAGGAAAGGGCTGGGGAGTGGTATTGACATTAATTGCTCTATTCAAAGAGCCAGCACAAACTCGATGGGCCGAATGGCCTCTTTTGTTGCTGTATGATTCTATGATTCTACCAGAAGGCTTTTGGTTTGGAAGAGAAGAGCACTTTACTTTATGTGGTTTGGTTTAATTCCTGCCAAGGTTTTTGATTTCCATTCGGACACAGTTATTGTGTAACCAGCTGCCATGTGTTTGTCTGTCCTGTGCTGCTGCAGCTTTCACTAATAAAACAAGCTCTTATTTTTTGCTTGCATGCATGGAGTCTCTACTACACAAAAAACGGTTTACAAGTACCAATCAGGTAACCCGCATGTTCTTGCAAACGCTGTTAGTTGTCTCATTGTTCTCGTGTTCCTCTAGTTATAGGAACAAATTGAATGCTTGCAATGGTACTTTCATTCCCATTTCTTTAAAAAATACTTTCAAATGCAATTCCAAGTGTTCAATTGTATTGTTAGCTTTTGTGCCGCTCATTACCACTCGGCATGTGCCAGAATTCAGGCTGAAGTGGAGAGGGACAGAATTTGAGAATGGGTTTCCCTGGGCACTCACTGTTCTTTTGGGGTCAGCTTTGGCATAATCTGCCTGTCCAGGAAATAGTACACGGAACTATGGGAAATGCAATGAGAAAGAATGCATTTCTAAAGCATTTTATTATGTTGACGCATCTAAGCAGATCATAAGCGATTATTGTCCGGCAGAGTTACCACTTTATTAAAGGTTCACAGGTAGGTGGGACCTTGGTTTAATACCTTATCTGAAAAAGAAAACCAATGATTGAGACACTCTCCCAGCACTGCACTGAAGTGTCAGCCTGGACAAGAAGCACAAAACCCAATGTGGATTTTGAACTCACAATGTTCTGATTCAAAAGCAAGAGTGCTACAAACTGTGCCAAATGATATGTTAATGATGGGATAGATGTTGTAGGCTGGAGTAAGTCACTACCTTTTATTCTTTAGTCTATTTGATTTATTACAAAGTTATAATCTGTTTTGATCTTCTTCGAGTTTTGTACTGTAAAATGCAAACTTTACTCAAGAAAACAATGGTGTATATGAAAATAAATACAGTAGAAACGTCTTAAACTGGGAATCCTCAGAGGGAAGCAGCATGCTCCCGCCTCCCCTCTATCCAAAGACTCTGACTATTTAAACTAATTAATTTGTAATGCCTAAGCATGAATAATGTGATGTGTACTTCATGCTATTCCCTGTAAATAATAATAATAATAATAATCCTTGCATTTTATATAGCGCTTTTCACGTCGGGAGGACGTCCCAAAGCGCTTCACAGAACACACTGTAAAGTGAATTGACTGTATATTTGTGGGCAAACGCAGCAGCCAATTGTGCACAGCAATGTCCCACAAACAGTCGTAGATTAAAAATGACCAATTTATTATTGTTTTTGGTTTTGGAGGGATTATTATTAGGCTCTGTGTGGAGTAAGGAAACTTGCCCGAGGTTTCGCCCTGACCTGCCTGGAATTGAACTCGGGTCTCTCGCTTGCAAAGCGAGTGCTCTAACCACTGAGCTACAGGACTCAAATATCCTGTTTTACAGTATCCTGCATGCACTGATCACCTCCCAAACATTCACATATTACTTTCATTTACAGTGTCGATCTTGTGAAAGAAAACAAATATTCACTGATATTGCATGTGTTTTAAATGTCTCCTCTGGGCATCACAATGATTAATATAGTTGTTGATGGCAAAATAGTTCATGGCATCAGTTGATTAAACCTATCAAATGAAACACTTTATATAATCAGAGATGAGATTTGGAGACATATTTAGACATGGCAGAACACTGACCTCCTGATCACACTCCTTCATGGTGGTGGTGGGGGCGGCGGAGAACAAAAGGAGGTTGCCAGTAAACAAAGTGTCCCAATAAGCAAAGTGCTGTTCATTGGGACACGAAGCAGGCACTAAGTTTTCTCATCTTCCTATTGTTTTACTTTAATTTTAAAAGGTGGAATGTTTTTTAAAAAGGAAGTGTTTTGAATTGACTGCATTGGTTAGAGTAGCTGATTTTTGATTAACTAGGGCTGCATAATAACCAGACTAATCTCTACCATTTTCCTGCTAAAAGCAGGAAATGAAGCCCACAATGCACAGTGCTCCTCCTTGCATCTCCTTTGTTGTTTGTGCTCCACTTTCACTGTGGTTTCATATCATTGGAGCTGGGAGCTGGGGAAGGAGCAGCTCCTGAATGTTGAACAAAAAGCATGTCATGTGATAAATAATTGTTTCTGAATTAACCTATAATTGTACTGAATACTGAACAAAATATTAAAGTACTTTTTCCCTAGCTGTTTGCTTTTTATCTATTCAGCACCGTCAGCTTATGAAGGACAGCTTTCTGGTGGAACTTGTAGAAGGTGCTCGGAAACTCCGCCATGTGTTCCTCTTCACCGATCTCTTCCTCTGTGCAAAGATGAAGAAGCAAATATCTGGGTGAGGCAAATGGAGGATTAGCCTTTTGGGTTTTATTTAAAATTATCGATAAGACTGAATATTGCTCCAGAATTTGTGACATTTATTTTGACATACCAACCGGAGGTACCTATGCAATTACTGCTGTCTCTATCTTCATTTGCTCAATTGTTATAATAATCCTTGCATTTGATTCAAAATATTAAAACAATTAGAATAGGTACATTACTGGATACTGTTGGGTCCAGACAGAGGCCTGACAGTTTGTCCACCCCACCAGGTAGTAAAATCTAACTTTCTATTAGGATATCTGTACCGTGTGCTTGTGGCTTTCATTGACAGTTATTTCTTCTCTGTCAGGAAAAGCCAGCAATATGACTGTAAGTGGTACATTCCTCTCGCTGACCTCACTTTCCACACTCTGGATGAGTCAGAAAATGCCCCAAACTTTCCACTGGTCCCAGATGAAGAATTGGATGCTATGAAAATTAAAATCTCCCAAATGAAGAATGAAATTCAGAGAGAAAAGGTAACAGGAAACTTTTATTTTGCTGTGTCAGAAGCGGCATATGGGTCAGGCTTATCATTGTCTGTGTCTGTATCCAGCAAACAGTTTGGAATGAAATTTGGCTGAATAACTTTCAAATTCATGAAGCTTTTGTCTCCTAGAGTTAATGAAAGGATAGTGTGAGAGTAATGGCCTAAAAGCAGTTTGTGAAAGTGCTTTATTCAAGATTCTGTTTCTAGGTATAGTAATTCAGATGGCAGTTTCAATGGTAGTACAGATTTCAAAGATCAATTTTATTCACATTATGACTGTCAGTGGAACAGGTGGCAACTATCAGCCAGGATATATCATAACTATAGAACCTATTGTAAAAGTTTTCTTCAAGGAAAGATTTTGTCACTAAATCCAAAAGAATTAGATGGCTATTTAGCAAAGAAATCTATCTGAGAAATGGAATAGGGAATGACTGGAATGACAATGAATATTGTTTGACTTTGGTATGAGAATGAATATTATCATACCAAAGGATAACTGGGGTTTGAACCTGACACCCATGTGCAACTTAGATGTCAGGTTCAATCCTCAGTTATCCTTCCTCCCCCACATCCAGCCCCTGACCAGCACCGCTTTCTTCCACCTCCACCACATTGCCCGTCTCCGACAATACCTCACCTAAAAATCTGCAGAAACCCTTGTCCGTGCCTTTGTTACATCTCAGCTGGACGACTCTAACGCCCTCCTCACCCGTCTCCCCTTCTCCACTATTCACAAAATCCAGCTCATTCAAAACTCCACCGCTCGCAATCTCACCCGCACCAAACTGCGTACCCCGATTACTCCAGTCCTGGCCAAACCCCACTGGCTCCTGTCACAGAGCGGATCGCCTTCAAAATCCTCACTTTAGTGTTTAAATCCCTCCATTCCTTGCCCCCCTCCCCCCATCTCTCTACCCTCTCTCCCCACAGCAGTATCCGCTGCTTCCACTCTACTGGGTCCGGCCTCCTCCGTGTCCCCCGAATCCTCCGTTCCACAATCGGCGACCGTGCCTTCAGCCACTACACCCTGAAACTTTGGAACTCCCTCCCTCAACCCCTTCACCTCGCAACCCCCCCCCCCCCCCTTCCCCATCTTCAGGTCGCGCCTGAAGACCTTCCTCTTCGACCCCGCCTACGGTCACCTTCCCCCTACCCTGGCTCGGCTTTGGGCTCTGCCATTGTTAAGTTCTGAGACGCCGCCCAGCGTGGAGGGCACTATATAAATGCAAGTTGTTGTTGATATTGTTTGCCAATTAATATTGTTTGACTCTGGGACTAGCCATGTGGACCACAATAGTCACCTCCAGTGTTTCTGAGGAAGATTTACTGCACATCTTTTATTAGTGTAATACACAGATTTCTAAATCTACTATTTTAATTTTAAAGTAAATTTACATTAAATTTTATTTAAAATGAAATGAATGTCAGACAACCGGCTGACCAAGTAAATCAATCAATCTGCTACTGCCAAAACCTATGATGGTTTGGGTCTAGTCCATCGCCATGTGTTTCAGTGCAAATACGCTACCCTACCTGGAGGGCGCTAGATAAGTGCAAGTTGTTGTTGTTGTAGAGTGCTTTGAAGCTGGATTGTCACATTGATTCTCCGCACAATCTATCCTCTGTGAATTGACAATGGTCTGTCTGCTATTATAGAGTTGTAATCCTAACTTTACTGATTTTGATTTTTTTTATACATAGAAGGCCAATAAAGGCAGTAAAGTGATTGAACGTCTGAAAAAGAAGCTATCAGAGCAAGAATCCATGTTACTGCTAATGTCTCCAAACATGGCTTTCAGAGTGCATAACAGGCATGGCAAGGTGAGACTGGCCACACTTACACAGAAAAAATAGTACTTAAAAAAAAATGGCTACAGTATTTTATACCTACATTGTTGAATCCCCGTGCTTGAGGAATTGTTGGGATCTGCTTTCTGCTCTGTTTAGCGAGGAGAGCTGCATACTTTCCTGACCTGTACTGTTTACTTTCCCTGGATGGTAGATTTTGACTTGCATGGGAACCAACCCAGAGCCCCTAACATGAGAAAGCACAATACCATATGGGACGATGCTTTCTGAGATAGTGATATCTGCAGATTAACTGACAGGTTATTACAAAGCACTTGTTCCATGCTGAAGGATGCATAAACTATTGACATGATGTAGACTGAAAATGTGTGGAGATGATATTGACGGACTAAACAAGAATAATAATAATAATAATCCTTGCGTTTGATATAGCACTTTTCATGTCGGGAGGACGTCCCAAAGCGCTTCACAGAACACACTATAAAGTGAATTGACTGTATATTTGTGAGCGAACACGGCAGCCAATTGCACACAGCAATGTCCCACAAACAGTCGTAGATTGAAAATGACCAATTTTATTATTGTTATTTGGTTTTGAAGGGATTATTATTAGGCTCTGTGTGGAGTAAGGAAACTTGCCCAAGGTTTCGCCCAGACCTGCCTGGAATTGAACTCTGGTCTCTCGCTTGCAAAGCGAGTGCTCTAACCACTGAGCTACAGGACTCCACTCGCATGGAGTTGATGTGGATTGAACAAGAATGTGATGACTGGTGTATATTTGTAATGTAGACTTTGTTACTTCTCTGGCTGCTTTCATAATTGTTATGTCAGTAAGGGTGCAACATTAGTCTTAGTTTTCATGTCAGATTGTTCTTTTGTCGTTTAGAGCTATGTATTCCTGATCTCGTCAGACTATGAACGGGCTGAATGGAGAGAAATCATTCGTGAACAGCAAAAGAAATGCAAGTCTTTTTACTTCTCCTCTCGAGATGACGAACAATGTTTTAACGAACTGTGCAGTGCTGTAGGCTCAATTAATACAAGAAAACTGCGGCTTTTCCAATAGTGTATTCTACAAACCTTTTTCCTTGTTTACAGTATGCAAGGGGTTCAATAATACTTCAGAGATTCACAGAATCTTCCAGCACAGAAGGAGGCCATTCAGCCCATTGTGCCTGTGCCAGCTCTTTAATCGAGCTCCCAACTAGTCCCACTCCCCCGCTCCTACCCCAACTCGCCCCACTCCCCCGCTCCTACCCCAACTCGCCCCACTCCCCCGCTCCTACCCCAACTCGCCCCACTCCCCCGCTCTTACCCTAACTCGTCCCTCTCCCCCGCTCTTAACCCAACTCCTCCACACATTTGAACCTGTGTCCCACTCCTCTCTCACCACCACTGTAACCCACATTAAACTGACCACCTGCTCCCTCAACCCCATCCCTACCCCTCTCCTTAACTCCCAGCTCCACCTCCTTGCCTCTCTACTCACAGACATCATAAACCTCTCCCTGTTCACTGGCACCATTCCCACCCCTTTAAAAACGGCCATCATCACTCCTATCCTTAAAAAAACCCTCCCTGAACCCGTCCTCGCTCTCAAATTAGCACCCCATCTCCAACCTCCCTTTCCTTTCCAAGGTCCTGTAACGAGTCGTTGCTCGCCGGCTTCACTCCTTCCTCTTCCGGCTCCCATCAGTGTCTCCACACCTCAGGCGTTGTCAACAACAACAACTTGGATTTATATAGCGCCCTCCACGCTGGACGGCATCTCAGAGCGCTTTACAGTAACGGATCCCAGGACCGAGCCAGGGGGAGGGGGGCAAAGGTGACCAAAGGCACGGTTGAAAAGAAAGGTCTTCAGTAGCGACCTAAAAATAGGAAGGGCGGGAGCGAGACAAAGGGAGTGAGGAAGGCAGTTCCAGAGCAGAGAATTTTCCAGAGAATTTTGTTGTTATTGCTTCTAAGATGATTAACAGGAGAAGCTTCTGCGTTATCCCTTCAATATATAATCCTTTTCATTCTTCAATTCATACTCTAACATCCTCAAACTGAAATATTTTTCACTTTCTTTCGAGGCCTGCACCTCCAGTATAGGTATTGAACATTTTTGCCTTTTCATATTTCAGGCTTCAAAAGCTTTTCCCTCACGTCTCTGGAACTACAGATGCTCACAAATTCGTGTGTGAAACTGCAAACCGTCCATAACATTCCATTAACCATCAATAAAGAAGGTAAGCTGAGCCAACTCTGTGGGAGACTTTTTTGGTATCTTTGCTATGTTTACCTTGGTGTTGAACTCATGGTATTAATTAACATCACCACTGGGGGTGCTATTTGACTATGATGCTGTCTTTCTGCTCTCTTTTGGTCAGCTGGGTGTCACCAAAGCTTAACAGTCTCCAAACCAAACTGAGATTTCCATGTATCCACCTACACATGGGAATCCCAGAGATAGATTGTTGTAATGGAATGTTCACTCTCTCCCTGAGGGACATATCCTGCTTACCTAATTCCAGTAAAAAGTATTAGACACAGGTTGACAAGACCCGAGGCTCTTATATGTTTAGGGTAACTGCTGGAGTCTGACCAGCTAAAACTACATAATTTGTCATTGATATTGATGTCTGGCAAGCTTTCTCGCTGCTTGTCCAGCAAGGACCATCCTACTCATTAGAGCTTCAGCTTGCAGGATTAACAAGAGCTGAGTGGAATGACTACCTGCTCCAGGAACTCCCTGCAAGCTTCCTGGTGGGCAACATATTTCAGCATGAAATTTTCCTATCTGCAGCTCAGGCACACATCCTTTCCCATTGAGGCAGGGTTCCACTAGTTGGAGGTGCAGAGTTTAATTAGCAACTGCTTGCCGCTCTGCAGGCCAATCCAGGTGGATTCCAGGAACTGGATATACAAACCTGTGTTCATGAATTTGGATTCCAGGTAATGCCTTTCAGCAGCTGTCAACCCAAGCCTCAGAGTTTCCTTATCAGCTTTTTGTCGGGCATCTGCCTTCAACATGAAAGCAGATGCCCAACCTATAGCTGATGACGAAATAATCTAAGGGATAATTGCACTGTATGTCTGCCAATGCCTAACTTACTACTTTGTTTCTTTACTTCCACAGATGATGAATCTCCTGGTCTCTATGGATTCTTGAATGTAATTGTCCACTCAGCCACTGGATTGAAACAGACATCAAGTAAGCCATCTATATTCATTGTTCATCATACAATAATGATATGCTACTAACTTGAAGACTTGACTATGCTTTCTGTTTCCTGCCTTTACCTCTCGTATCTCCCTCTCAGTCCTTGTAAAGCACTTTGAAATGTTTTCCGTACATGAAATGAGCAATATTGTAAATTGTTGCCTGCTTCACGTTCCCTCCGCCTTGCCCACCCCCACCATTGGCGGGCGGGCTTTCAGCCTCTCTGCCCCCACTCTCTGGAACTTCATCCCACAGTCCCTCCATCTCGCCCCCTCTCTTGCCTCCTTCAAGACCCGTCTCAAGACCTTCCTCTTCCTCCCGACATTTCTACCCTCCTAACATCTCTCTGCCTCTGCTCTGATCGCCTCATCATCCTGGGCGACTTCAACTGCACTTCATCCCCTCCTGCTCCACCTCCTCGGACTTCTCCCCCCTCCTCTCCTCGCTCAACCTCTCCCTCCACTCACATTCATGGCCAACCACTCGATTCGGTGATCACCTGGGCCTCAGTGTCTCGGATGTCACCATTACCGATCACTTCATCTCCTTCACCACCTCCACCCCCCTCCCCACCTCCACCACACCCACCACCATCTTCTACCGCCCCTGGAAGAAGTTACCCCCACAATTCCTAACTGCTGCCTTGGAGTCCTCTGAACTCCTCTCCCTCTGGCCTTCAACCCTCACTGACCCCTCTTCTGCTCTCACCCTCCTCCACAACACCCTCTCCTCCACACTCGACACTCTTGCCCCCATCACCTCCCATACTGTCTCCTACTCTCGCTCCTCCCCCTGGTTCACCATCCACCTCCGCTCACTGAAGAGCCAGGTGCGGGCCGCTGAACGCACCTGCCTCAAATCTGGCCTAACGGCCAAATCTCCCACACTCCGACTCTTTCCCATCCTCCCCTACACAGCTTCGAACCCGTTTCCTCACCCTCTGTCACCAACCTCATCCTGTCCTTGAAACCCACCACCTGCTCCCTGGACCCCATCCCCACTCCACTCCTTATCTCCCAGCTCCACCTCCTTGCCCCACTTCTCACAGACACAATTAACCTGTCCCTCTCCTCTGGCTCTGTTCCCATTCCCCTCAAAACTGCCACCATCTCTCCCACACTGAAAAAACTCTCCCTTGATGCGTCGCAGCTATCAAGCTACCGGCCCATCTCCAACCTCCCCTTCCTGTCCAAGGTTCTCGAAAGAGTTGTCGCCTCCCAGCTGCGCTCTTTCCTCTCCACCCATTCACTATTTGAACCCCTCCAGTCGGGTTTCCGTGCTGCCCATAGCACGGAAACTGCCCTGGTCAAGGTCACCAATGACATCCTGACCATCAGCGACCAGGGCTCCCTCTGCCTCCTCGTCTTCCTCGACCTATCGGACGCATTCGATATGGGCGACCACTCTATCCTCCTCCACCGCTTGTCCTCCCACCTCAACCTTCAAGGCCCTGTCCTTCAGTGGTTTAGGTCGTCCCTCTCCCACCGTCTTCATTTTGTGTCCACAAACGGCTTTTCCTCCAGCCCCCTCACTGTCTCGTGCGGTGTCCCTCAGGGCTGTATCCTCGGTCCCCTCCTCTTCACCCTCGATATGCTCCCCTTTGGTGACATCATCCGCAGACATGGGATTAACTTCCACATGTATGCGGATGACACCCAACTCTACCTGTCCTCCTCTACCCTCAACTCCACGACCACCGATGTCCTGACAGCTGCCTGTCTGACATTGAATCCTGGACGAGAGACAACTTTCTTCAGCTCAACGTGCCTAAAACTGAGACCCTCCTGATTGGCTCGCGTCAGCGCCTCTGCACCTCAGGCGCTGACAGCATCAGCATCCAAGGCTGCACTCTCCACCTCTCAAAGCCAGTCAGGAACCTCGGTGTTCTGTTCGACCCTGAGCTGTCCCTTCTCCCTCATATCCGCGCCACAACTGGCACCACCTTCCATCTCCATCCCCCAGAGGATCGAATTCAAGATCCTCATCCTCACCTACAAGGCCATTCACGGCCTTGCTCCCTCCTACCTCTCTGACCTACTATCCCCCTACTTACCTGCCCGTACCCTCCGTTCCTCTGGCTCCAGTCTGCTCCACATCCCCCGCCCCAACCGCCCTACCATTGGTGGCCAGGCCTTCAGCCTTTCATCCCTTCGGCTCTGGAACTCCATCCCCCAGTGCCTTCGCCGCTTCCTCCCTTTCCTCCTTCAAGGCCAGTCTCAAGACCTTTCTCTTCAACCGTGCCTTCACCTCCCCTCTCAACTCTCTACCCCCTCCTCACTCACTCCCTCCCTTCCCTCCCCTCACCCTGACCATTTCCCCCCTGCTCGGGTCCTGACCTAACTGTCCAGCGCCTTGGAACGTCCTCCCGATGTGAAAGGTGCTCTATAAATGCAATCGTTGTTGTTGTTCGTCCGTTGCTTCGGGGACCCTCCTACCCCTACCCTCCCCAACTTCCACCCCTCCAGATCCCAACCAACCACCACCTCGGGTGCAGATTCCTGACTATCCAGCGCCTTGGATTGTCCTCCTGACATGAAAGGCTCTGTACAAATGTAGTTTGTTGTTGTTGTTGACAACAGGATATGGATTTTGCATCATATGAAAATGTCACAGTTCAGGATAGCCAACGCTAAAAAGCATTTCCCAATACATGCATTAATTTAATGTCCGCTAAAATTAGATTTTTTGCTGTGTAATTTCACTTACCTACTGTGAGTTATAAAGAAAATCCAAGATGAGGAGCTACAAGGTATGGTCGATATTCCATGGTAAATTCTGATTATGACTTTTGCAATATAAATCCCACAGCTCCTTATGACATTTTGTCCTAGAAATCTTCATCTTGGTGATGAGCCTGTGCGGTCCAGTGAAGACTGGCTTTGAGATGTGAATAAGAGTTGCCCTTTTTTAGAAGTTTAGTTTTCATTTTAAAAAAATCATTTCAGTTTTTTCTAATTTTGAACTTATGTTTGCTCTTCTTATTTTGAAACTATTTTACAGATTTATACTGTACGTTAGAAGTAGATTCATTCGGGTACTTTGTTAACAAGGCAAAGACGAGAGTCTACAGAGACACAACTGAACCAAACTGGAATGAGGTGAGTCTTCAGGTGATTAAATTAAAACCCTGCACATCTAGAAATGTACCTGTAATCCTGTTGATTTTAGTGGAAAGTGCAATTTTACTTAGAAATTTTGTATTTTATTCAGTTTTTTAACCATGTTCAGGGAGGTGAGCTTCTGTCAATGTTGCTCAGGTTGGCTCTGCAGAATTCAGTTATTAAAACTGCTGCCTGGTATGAGTTGAGCTCTGACTTCAGGTTAGAATAGATTAGCATTTCACCATGATAGTTGGAAATGTTGCCATTTGTCTCTTACCTGCATTTGCTGTGCACTATTTCTGCTTCTAGTTATTCTTTCTAATTTTGTTTACAGGAATTTGAAATAGAACTGGAAGGATCACAGACTCTCAGAATTCTTTGCTATGAAAAATGCTATAACAAAACCAAACTCACCAAAGATGATGCTGAAATAACTGATAAAATCATGGGCAAAGGACAGATTCAGGTGGGACTGTTGCTTTGCTACAACTGAAATGGAATTCTTTCAGCAAAATGACAGATTATTGGAATTGTGACGAGTATTAATCATCTTGATACAGAGTTTCTTGTAATATGCTTTTATTATTTTGTTTAATTGAAATATTATAAACAGGTGTAGAATTAATGAAGTCCTTGCACATTTTGATTTGTCTGTGCTTGTGGCTGAGTGTTTAAATGTATTAAGGGCTCGGGCAATTTGTGCAGGTTGATCCAGGATTTAGTTGGATTGTACCTTTACCAGTACTATTACTGGGAATTTCCTGCTTTCACTGCCAGTTTTATTCAGCTGATATACAGATGAAGAATTGGTATCTGTCACTAGATCAAATCACTACCTCCCTAAAACCTCTGCTAGTCTCTCAGAGCAAGAAGCACTGAAATAAACAGTGGCTAATGAGGATGCTTAGGTTGTCACTTTTCTCTGGCTTTATTTGTCAGGCTCTGTGCTAACTAAAGTTGATTCTATTTTGTAGCTGGAGCCACAAGCGTTGCAGGACAAGGACTGGCAGAGAACAGTTATTGCAATGAATGGTGTAAGTAGCTTCACAGATGTACCTGCATTTATGTTGCAGATCCAAGTAAAGGGGGTGTGTTTCTCATATCAAATATAATCAAACTGAATTATATGGTGGAGTCCTGTAGCTCAGTGGTTACGACTGATTGTGGGACATTGCTGTGCGCAATTGGCTGCCGCGTTCGCCCACAAATATACAGTCAATTCACTTTACAGTGTGTTCTGTGAAGCGCTTTGGGACGTCCTCCCGACGTGAAAAGCACTATATCAAATGCAAGGATTATTATTATTATGGTGAGATTAGAATCTATTTTGAAAACTAAACAGTTGGTGAGTGGATGAATTGGTTCAAACTAAGGAAAAAAAATCAATGATTTCTCTAATGGCTGTACAACTGTTTTTTTTGAATGGAGTTGTTTATCATTGGTTGACTGGAGTGACACTAACCTCCGAGCCATCAGGCTGACAAACGATCCTTCAGATAAATTTTGTCCTTCATTCCGTGGCTGTTTGGGGGACAATGCTGTGTGTAAGTTTGCAGCTGTGTTAACCTGCAAAATACACAGTAACTACACTTAACAATAATTACTGTGGAGCACTTTGAGAGGATCTGATGATCTAACCTCCTGATGTAGAGGCCACTGAACTAGTCCGACATCTGCAAATTATAGATCTATTATTTCTTCAGTTCAGGAAAGATGTTAAGGTCTTAAAGGTTTACGAAAATTATTTCAGGGATGACGGGCTCCAGTGATGAGAGATTATTATTATTGGAGAGGCTGGGCTTGTTTTCATTGGAGCAGAGATTGAGCAGTACATAATTATGAATGGGTTTGATGGGGGAAATAGGGAAAAGTTATTTCCAGCGAGGCTGAGGAACAGCTTCTGTGCTGGGTCTCCTTAGTTAGATCATCAAGGTTAGATCATCAGATCCTCTCAAAGTGCTCCAAAAGCAAGGTTACTAAAACATAAGCTTATTCCATTTACAATCCTCCAAGAGATTTTTATCTAATCAGTCTGGACTAGATAGAGCAATGTGCTTACCTCTTGTTCCAGTGTTTGATTTCAGTGATACATTAATGGATACAATAGTTTTGGGGAGGCATAGTCATTAAATTATTTTTGATGACCAAGAACTTAATTTTACTCTACAATACAAATTTATCTTTGTATTTATTCACCTTACATCAGAAGGATGCAACAGTACTGACTTGGCACCTAAGCTGGGGGTGGGGAGGAGACAGCGCAGTATGTCTTGAGACAAACCCTGGCCGGAGTGAGGGAATGAACGGCAGAGACTCTAGGATGGTGTTTTAATATAACAATCTTTCATGAACAGTCGACTCATGGTATTTTAACTCAGTTTTGTGTACCTTACCTTTGCTGTTGCTGTTACTGTTACACTCCTGGTCCAATTATGAAGAAAGATTAAGGAGATTGGCGCAATTGAGGCTGCGGGAAGCCCAACTGAAGCTTTCAGAATGATCCACAAAATTGATTTGGTTAAAAATGGTAATTTGGTGAGATTTCCCAAACTCTTTGCACATTACGTCACTGCATACTGTAAAGAGTTATCCCACTAGCTGGGTTGAATGCAGGGGTGAAATTACAGGGATTTTCTATCAATCTATCAATGTGCCATTCAACTACCACATAATTGGATCTCTGAACTTAAACACTGCTGATTTTAAACCATCATTTTAGAGTTATGTTTGGCCTCATCTTCCTCACTGACATCACATGGATGTGTGGTACTGATTCACATTAGGTTAGTCAGAAAGTTCAGATTTTAGTTTCTTTCTCTGCAGATTGAGGTGAAACTGTCGATGAAGTTCACCAGTCGTGAATTCAGCTTGAAACGAATGCCATCCCGGAAACAGACTGGGGTGTTTGGGGTAAAGATTGCGATAGTAACCAAGTGAGTACCTTGTGTCGTGTCAACTATAAAATGGCAAACTGTCACTATAATAATACCCAAAAATAAAACTGACTTTGAGTAACACTATCTCCATTGGATATAACTAGACTTGTTTCACACCTTTCGGGACTGAGTTAATCAGAATCGAGGCTTATCCAGACCTTGTTCTGTCCACTTGCCTGTCAGACATCAGTGATCCTGGAATCGAGTAGAAGTTGAAATGTAGAATTGTGTGTCATCTACATACATATGGAGCAAGTTAGCATTGGGAATGGGCAGATTTGACTGAATCACATTTTGTGAAGACTATGAAGGATGGGAAGTGGTGTGACCAAAACTACCCTCTTCTTTCTGTTCTGCATCTTCCCAGTACCTTTTCTCAGTCTTTCAGATGATTTTATATGTGCTGTATTTCTATTGTTCTTGATGTTACAGGGAAAAATTTGAAAAATGTTCTTTGGTAGATTTCTCTTACTTGTTCCTCCAGGCGTGAAAGGTCCAAGGTGCCTTACATTGTACGACAATGTGTGGAAGAGATTGAGAGACGTGGAATGGAGGAAGTTGGGATCTATCGAGTATCAGGAGTTGCAACAGATATTCAGGCCCTTAAAGCTGCGTTTGATGCCAGTAAGTGCTCTCCCTCTGTTGTTTCCTACCAACCTACCCGCTCCCTATGTTCAGCGGGCTCCAGCCTGCTCCATGTCTCCCCCCGACCCACCCTACCATCAGTGGCCAAGCTTTCAGCCTCTCTGTCCCCACACTCTGGAACTCCATCCCACAGTCCCTTCGCCTCACTTCCTCCCTTGCCTCCTTCAAGGTCGATCTCAAGACCCTCCTCTTCGATCGTGCCTTCAGTCGCCCTCCCATCTCTCTGCCTTCCCTCACGCCTACCCCATCCCTTCCCCATGCTTAGGTCCTGACCCCTGACTGTCCAGTGCCTTGGGACATCCTCCCAACGTGAAAGGTGCTCTATAAATGTAATTTTGTTGTTGTTGTAATTCATGATTTACTGTCACCAGTAATTAACAATGGTTTTGAAGTACTAACAGTCAAGCTAACAGTTAGGTTACTATCACATAGTAGGAGTTGGCATTCTTGGAAATAAACTTGTTAATTTGCCTACTCTTAGAGCTATTTCATTTGATTATCACACTCTACTACTCATGCAGAGCTTTTTGTGTATTTGAAGGTTTAACTTCAAATGTAGAATCCAAATAGTGATCTACTTTTTAAAAAAAATACATGGGTGCAGCACCATCCATCTCCTAACTGAGCTGGTGTGTCAGGGTGAGTGGGAGGGATTTTCCTCCAGTGTAATGTACTCTAACCCCTGTGTTTATAGACTTACCGTTAACCCTTCAAATCCAGGCTTAAAGTGGGGCCAGTTTTACAGAATAAATTTCATATCAGTTTGAGTTGATTTATTAGTATTGACTTTGGGCTGGTGCAATGTGTCTGAGTATGTTTCGGGTCTCCATCTGATGGGGAGTTTCTGAGCTGAATCAACGAGTGTGAAAATTCTGTGAGATATGGATGGTAGATACATTCGATCTGTGCTTCCTAGTACTTGGTGCAGACCCACTCAGAAAAAATAATTCGTACAATTTAAAAATTGTAATATAGTATTCTGATTGCCATTTAATGCTTTTGGAAACTTTTTTCTGCTTACAGATAATAAAGATGTTTCCATAATGATGAGTGAAATGGATGTGAATGCCATCGCAGGGACCCTGAAGCTTTATTTCCGAGAGCTGCCTGCGCCCCTCTTCACAGATGAGTTTTACCCTAACTTTGCTGAGGGCATTGGTAAATTTACAAATGTAGCTGTCTTGCTTCAGTGCAATATTCCATTTCCCCCTACCTACCTGCCCGTACCCTCCGTTCCTCCGGCTCCGGTCTGCTCCACGACCCCCGCCCCAATCGCCCTACCATCGGTGGTCGGGCTTTCAGCCTCTCAGCCCCTGGGCTCTGGAACTCTATCCCCCAGTGCCTTCGCCGCTTCCTCCCTCTCCTCCTTCAAGGCCGGTCTCAAAACCTTTCTCTTTGACCGAGCCTTCAGCTCCCCTCTCAACTCTCTTCCCCCTCCTCGCTCCCTCCCTTCCCTCCCCTCACCCTGACCATTTCCCCCCTCCTCGCTCCCTCCCTTCCCTCCCCTCACCCTGACCATCTCCCCCCTGTTCGGGTCATGACCCAACTGTGCAGCGCCTTGGGACGTCCTCCTGACGTGAAAGGTGCTTTATAAATGGAATCTTGTTGTTGTTGTTGTTACTTATAATAATCCTTGCAATTGATATAGCACCTTTCATGTCGGGAAGACATCCCACAGCTCTTCACAGCATATATACAGGAGTGACTGTGTATTTGTGGGAAAACATGACAAGCACAAAGTGTGGTGAATAATCCCCCCCCCCCGGTACTGATTGAAGCGACATCTATCTTAGACTTGTGGGTTCAAGTCCCAATGTGTAGCTTGAACTCAGAGGTGAGTGTGCTATCACTGAGCCAGCTGACATGCACTGTCAATCCTTTTGATCTTCCTCATAAAAATTATTTAGGAATAACTTGTTATTTTCCCCCATTGTCATTAAAGCTACTCTCTTTGACCAATTTCCAACAGTGAGAGCACATAGGTTGCTGCATCGCACACACATCATTGCCGCTCAGTAACTGAACAGCATTTCTGTGGACTTTGTGAGGAAAGGTCATGCGGCTGTGTGTCCCACACCTCTCAGGCATGAGTGCAACATCTGTCATTCTACTGCTTTCAAGTCAGAGTCAGGGTTAAAATATGGATTGTATTGTAGAATTAAATCTTTTTATTTGAATGATGAAATTCTTAAGTGGCTTTGTAGTTTCAATTCATAAGATTAGCTTTGGCACCACCAAAGTTGGAAAATTAGGTGAAAAGAGGGATTATAGAAAGAGGGAAATTCTTTAAAATTATAGAACACTGATCATTGAGATGATGTAATTCAGATTCACTATAAGGTGACTGGTCACCAGTGTTGGTGTGTCACTTCTGCTGGGTTTGTACATGCTGTTGTTTTTTGTTAGTTATATTGAGGTCCACTGTGGCTTGAATGCAGAGTATTGAAGTGAAAGATGTGACATGAGATTTGTGTTGCCGTTTATTTCCCAGCACTGTCTGATCCAGTTGCTAAAGAAAGCTGTATGCTGAATCTGCTGCTATCATTGCCAGAACCTAATCTCATCACCTTCCTGTTCCTACTGGATCACTTGAAGAGGTGAGTCAGAGCAAATATCTCCTCTGTTCCTCTGTCACTACATTCTGCCCCAGAGCTGAGAGCACTGCAAGTGAGTTTTGATGTTTGTTGTTGACAACTGCTTCACATTTCAGAGTATGGTCAATTATGCCCAATCCTTTTATACCTGAAATTGACAATTTTATTATAATAATCCTTGCATTTGATGAAGCGCCTCATCACGTCTTCAAGACGTCTCAAAATGCTTCACAGGTTATACTGTAAAGTGAGTTGAATGTATATTTTGTGGGTGAATTTATAATGTATACCTTCAAGCGCTCCGAGATGCCATCTGGTGTGAAAGGCGTTATGTATATATGTAGACATTTACAGTGCAGAAGGCTGTTCGGCCATTGTATTACATACGTTTTTCATTTTCTTTTCTTAAATATGCTTGATTATATTTATTTACATTGAAATTCACCTTTAGTCAATGCACTGACTCACTTGAGCTTAAGAGCCTGTTGACATAAGCAGTAAGAACACAATGTACTTAATTCTGTTTGGCACTTAAAATTTATCGATATAAGCATGTGGGTATTTATGTTGATGTCTACATACACGGTAAGTTTAACGTGTTCCTATACAGGGAGAGACACGGGACTTCACATCTTTATTGACACATGCAGGATGTCAATATTAACAGGTTCAAGATAAGTGCATCGCTTCTCGACCTTTTGTCTAAGATCAAGTGTAGTTTCTGTTCACATCAGTTACTCTTTGAGCTAAAGCAAAGCTGGGAATGCTCATCTCCTGTTGACATTAGCTTGTGTTGTTACCATGACCCTATCTCATCCAGAACTAGACATGGAGAGAGAGGATTGAGCTCCTGGCTTCAGCTACAGGTCTGCCCTTTGTGGGTTGGGTTCGGTATTGCAGCACACTCACTGAGATCTATACACACACTCTTTGCACACACGCAAAGACTGCAATCTACGCGCGCAGACACGCAAAGATTGTGATCTGCCTTCACACAGAGGAAGGGGAAATACTGGAAGCCCATGGTCACTAGGCTCAGGCCGGGCTTAATGGGGGTGAACAGTCTAACCTCACTCACTCACCAAAAAAAAGGATAGCGCTGGACTACTCATGGTATCAATCACAGCCTGGCTCAGTTGGTCGCACTCAAGCCCTTGAGTCAGAAGGATGTGGGCTCAACCCCAACATTGGGACTTTAACATCTGTTTCATTCTTTTGTCACTTATGCAGGATTGCAGAGAAAGAGCATATCAACAAGATGTCATTACATAATCTGGCTACTGTCTTTGGACCCACGCTTTTGCGGCCATCAGAGAAAGACAGTAAAATTCCCACCAACCCCACGCAGCCCATCACCATGGCAGATAGCTGGTCCCTGGAGGTGATGTCGCAGGTAATATGGTGGCACATTGATTGGTTTCTGTTGAAACCTGAGAATTCTGTCGTAATAGATCAAGTAGGAAGAACTTCCTATCCATTCTGCAGGAACAGAAGGCTTTTGTCAGCGCCACATCATGTCTCTCACACTAGCGTTCAGTTATTCTGATTAGAGATGGTTTAGATAGTTAGGTATTTGGTAAATTACATTCAGATTGTCACAGGCTGTCAGTTCGTGGAATAGATCCATTAAGATGGTAAAAAATCTGCTCAATTGATCTTGTCTGAGGATTTCACATATTGCCTTAGAAAATAATTCTATAAGATAATCAAATCTTGTTGGTAGTAATTGATTTTCCTGTCAACTACCTTTTATGTTTAGCTGAGTTCAGTATAATAATAAACCTTGCATTTGATATAGCACTTTTCACGTCTTCGAGACGTCTCAAAGTCCTTCACACAATATACTGTAAAGTGAATTGACTGTATATTTGTGGGAGAAACACACCAGCCACTTGTGCACAGCAGCGTCCCACAAACAGTCGTGAATTGAAGTGACCAATTTATTATTGTTTTGTTTTCTTGGGGGATTATTATTAGGTGTGTGGAGTAAGGAAACTTGCCCAAGGTTTCTCCCTGCCGGGAATCAAACCCAGGTGTCTCGCTTGTGAGGCAAGTGCTCTATCCGCTGAGCTACAGGACTCCATGTCAGTATCACTGATTCCTGCAGAAGTTGAGCCCGCGAGAGAAGGCCTGGTTTACTATTGCCATGGGGTTAACTGAACCATGTGAATGTGTATGAGGGAAGCGACTGATCCATTTAGCAAACATGGAGCAGTAATGGTGCTCCCTCATGGCTCATTTTAACACGTATGAATGTTCAGGGGAAACAATAGCATGTTTAACGTGTTCCTATACAGTGAAAGGCCCAGGAGCAGACTGCTCCTAATCAGGAATTAGAAAACTTTAACTTTCTTTTAATTTGCTTTTTAAATAAAATTAACAGTCAATCACTGGTCTATATTGAATTAGTATAAGACTAATGGGCCTCATGTTCTATCCAGGTGCAAGTGCTGCTCTATTTCCTGCAACTGGAGACCATCCCTACCCCAGACAGCAAGCGCCAGAGCATCCTCTTCTCCACGGAGGTTTAAGCAGCCATCGTGAGCATTGTTGTAGCACCAACCAAGGCTTCATTTACCACCGGATATTCACATGGGAGCCACAAACACTAGCATTTTCACACAAAGGCATCAACCTCCATCTGTGACCTGGCATCTTCCTGTGTGTTTCAGTATGGAAAGTTACAATTCTTAAAGGTTTACTAGTGTATGAAGGAGATGGATAGTTTAGAGTTTTAGTTTTTGGCATTCTGTGTATAGGAACATAAGACTGATTTCTATCAAGTTTGATATCCATAATAAACAATTATGGATGTAAATGGGGTAAGCCGAAGCACAGAGACCCAAATACACCATGACAATGGAAATAACGTTTTATATTTAAAGCTCTGCCAGAAGCTTCTGGAAATAATGTTTTCCGATGTGTTGCATTAGTGCATCCTTTGCTTGTATTAACTCAGATTTTTTTTATATATAAAGTTTGATTTAAGTTATAATTTTTTTAAAAAAATTATTTTACCTACATAACGGCACTTGATAACTAGTTTCGCAAGTCTATGCATTCAGTATGTTCTGTTTTGTAGAGGCTACAACCAGGTGCAAGTGCACAAGCAATACATGACTGTGCCAATTGCTTTGCTGTCCTTTTTATTTCTATAGTAGATATTGTTAAAAGCAGAATATTGAGTAGTCACCGTCACTGTTTGCTTGTTCAATTGACAGATTTATTGCCATATTAGTACAATCCATCCAATTTTAGTAACATTATTTAACATGCAGGCATGTTGATTTAAAATTTTACGTAATATTAAAAGTCCATATATTAACTTCTTTATGTTTTGTTTTCCCCAAAGCTGGATAATTTGGGCTGGGTTGTAGAACATTATCTTTGTCAGAATGTTTGATGGGTGTAGCAACAGAAGTGGAAATCTACTTCACTGTTTTCTCACAATAACCATGGCCCCAGTATAAAGATCGATACCAACGGCACAAATCTAAATTGGCACAAAGTACCTGAATGAGAAGCTGATTCAGGTCCTGGAGACCAGCGATGCTCAAGTGCTGGTTTCTGTAATACATTCCCAGCTTATGCTGGCCAGCAACTCCGCCTTATTCTGGACACTTTCTCTGAATGATCCTAGTTTGCAGGAGGCCTTCATCCTAATGCTGTTTTTTCATTCTTTAACTGATTGAATAAGTTGTCTGTTTTCTGAGTTAATGTTCGAGTCGTACTTTACTTGTTATATTCACAGTAAAGGGGCTCAATTACCACAATGAAGACGTTCTGAGGCAGATTTGGTTTCTGGAACAGACTCCGTTTATGGAACGGGCAGGAAGGTGCATGTTTCAGGAAACACTTGTTCTGTCTCACAAACATCCTTAAATCAGTTCTTTAGTTTTCAGTTTTTAATGGTATGTTTTCGTTGCATAGTCTTGTGCCCTCCTGAAAGCAGTGTATCGTGCTTGGTTTCTGAAATGCTGTACTCTGTCCAGCGCCTTGGGACGTCCTCCCGACGTGAAAGGCTCTATACAAATGTAATGTTGTTTCTGAGGAGTTGGCAGTGAGTCGGATTCATTAAAATCGAGCCCAATCTGGTCCTCATTTCATATCCTAACAATACATTGTCCAGCAAAAGGCTCACTGGATGACTATCAGAAATATCAGTCCAAAGGCACCAAGGATAGCTATAGCTCCTTTATTAAATCCTGGTCTGAGATCAACTAACTCAGCCCAAGCCAAGCATGTGAGTGGCTCAGCGATACAACATGTGCAATAAAGTATTTGTGCCACATCAGTGATGGATTGAGCGGACCTTCCTCTATTTAACAGGTGACGATGCTCTGATTAAAACAAAAGCAACATTGGTTTCATCTTTTGGTTCTGAGTTTCCTGGGAATATCTGCATTCCACACTTTACACCATTACAATTTAGTTGCATCAATAAAATATTTTCATTGAGCAACCTTGATAAGGTGTAAACAAATGATTCTCGTAATAGACTTAGTTAAAGCCTCACGATTTGATTTTGTCTGTAACCATTGCTTTACTATGATCATTCCTTTAGCTGAGAGAGTTTAGCCATTTGGAACATTGATGCCTCTTTGGTCCACTCGGATGAACAGTATACACCTCCAGTTCAATGGTATTTCCCCTATTACACAAACAGATTTTACGTCTGCAGTAAAGTCCAAGGAATGTTTACCCTCTCTGCCAACACCAGAGCCACAGGAGCTGTGCTGTGGCTGAATAACAGAGAGCTTTGTGACAAAAACATTGACTTCCATCTTGATACTTTTGTGTTCACAGTCATCAAAAGGTCCAGCATCAGCTTCACAATTGCTTTAAAAAGCACAAAGAATTATACTGAGACGAGAGTATAAAAATTTTCTGCTAAAATTAAAATAAGAATTGGTGCCCTTTAGGTGAGGAGACTGCATCCAGATGGCCCCCATGAGCACAAAATGACAGATGAAGCAGAGATTTTCCTGCATCAGCCACTTCTCTGCATTTTGTAAACTGGAAGAATTCTTGTTTGAATAGTGACAATGAAGAAAGTGCCCAACTGTGCAGCATTTGTGTCTAGCTTTTGCACCAATAAAAGGAAAACAATCAGGGCTAATGTCTTTCAAGCAAAATAGAGGCTTGAATTAAATAGATTGATTTAACAGTTCTGCATTAACATTGTTAAAAATGTCATTGTAAAGCTATTGCATTTGTAAAGTTATTGCAATCTTTCTAATGTACATTTTGAGGAACAGATTTTTAAAGCAAAAAAATTGCATTCGTATAATATGGCACACTCCTCACCTGAATATCACTCCAGCCCAGAGTGATGAGAAGAAATAATTTATCTTTGTTTGCTGAGGGATTCAATATTAATTGAACTTGGCATAGTTTTGACTACAGGTCCCAGTAGGTTTAAATTCATTGGAAGAAACTAAAGGCTCATTATGTCTTTAAACATTTACTGAGCAGTATCTGGCATGTTTTTTTCACCAATGCTGTAAGAGTCAGAGTTAGTATTATTGGGATCAAGCTAAATCAAATCACCTTTGAGGTTGCGGTAAAAGTATTCTCTATATTTCATGCAAATGTCTGAGCTGACTGCACTCACAACTAAACAATAGTGTCTGCAGCATGCTTTAAAAAATCTCAGTGATCTCCAGATGTAAGTGCTTCAGAGTTAAAAAATCACCTCATATTTCCAGATTTTTCAATTAAAATAATTAAAACTTATCATGCTGTTATGATCTACTGTCACGTGCTGAGTATTTGATATGAAATTGTTGTTGAGCTCTGAATTGAAACAGTTGCTCAATAATGTAAGTATTATAATGAGCAATCAAGGATCTTCTAAAATATTGTATTATAATGTTATAGTTAAAGACGTGATAATTCCCTCTTCTAAATGACTGTAAACCCTTTGTAACCTGTTCTTGATGTACTGTAGTTAAGATACTTGCGCATTCCAGGGATATGGGTTAGAGTTATTTATTGAACTAATCAGGATTAAATTATATGAATAATCATGTGTAGAAGCATTTCTTCCTTACAATTAGGAATTTTCAGCTGAATTGATGTTGCAATGAAGTTTGGTAGACCTGTTCCACTGGAGTTGATGCACCCTGCAGTACTATTACTGACTGGCTACTCATTGTTTCATGTACAGTACTTGATTCCTTATATTACAGAAACCATCTGACAGGAAGGACTGTTCTGTACAAGAAATACCACCAGTTCAGGAGGAGAAAGGAATCAGGTTTTCATTTTTGTTTTTTGTATAACTGTTAATTTAGTTCTTTCACTTTCAAAGGGTAGTTAGGCATAAAAGGGATGCATATGATGCATATTTGAAGATTTTCCTTAGGCATTTGTAGCCTCTGTTTGTACACAAAATGTTAAATAAAATTCCTGTATCTATACATTTCTGGCCTTCGTTTTGTGGCAATCGTTGTTTAGCTGAGGCATTCTTTACTTTGCAGGCGAGTGCTCTGGGATGCTATCCTGGACAAGGAGAGTTATATAAATACACGATGTACTTGTTGTTGAGTGTCGCAGAAATGTTCCATCAGTTTGAGAGAAGACTGGATACTGAGCACAATCTGAGCTGAATGTGGGTGTAAGTGAATGACCTGGACCACTTTTCCTCTCCGTACACAATAGTTGATCAATGAGAATCACTTCTCATCCTTTGAGCTAAGTTCAAATTCAAGATCCTCATCCTCACCTACAAGGCCATTCACGGCCTCGCTCCCTCCTACCTCTCCGACCTACTATCCCCCTATCTACCCGCCCGTACCCTCCGTTCCTCTGGCTCCGGTCTGCTCCACGTCCCCCGCCCCAACCGCCCTACATCGGGTGGGCCTTCAGCCTCTCAGCCCCGAGGCTCTGGAACTCCATCCCCAGTGCCTTCACCACTTCCTCCCTCTCCTTCAAGGCCGGTCTCAAGATCTTTCTCTTTGACCTTCAGCCTTCAGCTCCCCTCTCGACTCTCTACCCCCTCCTCGCTCCCTTCCTTCCCTCCCCTCACCCTGACCATTTCCCCCCTCCTCGCTCCCTCCCTTCCCTTCCCTCCCCCTAACCATTTCCCCCCAATGCTCGGGTCCTGACCCAACTGTCCAGCGCTTTGGGACGTCCTCCCGACGTGAAAGGCGCTCTATAAATGAAATCTTGTTGTTGTAACTACAATATGTTTAGTTACATAAGTTGATTTGGTCCAAGAGTGTGCACAATGAGTGGTGTGTGTGTGCACAGTGAGTCCAGTGTGTGTGTGTAGTGAGTGTGTGGGTGCACAGTGAGTGCTGTGTGTGTGTGCAGTGTGTGAGTGAGTGCTGTGAGTGTAGTGTGTGCACAGTGAGTGCAGTGTGTGTGTGCACAGTGAGTGTGAGTCCTGTGAGTGTGTGTGGTGTGAGTGCAGTCAGTGAGTGCAGTGTGAGTGCAATGTGTGTGTGAGTGCAATCAGTGTGAGTGTAGTGTGTGTGAGTGTGCAGTATGTGTGTGTGCAGTGAGTGCACAGTGAGCGAGTGCAGTGTGTGAGTGCAGTGTGTGAGTGCAGTGTGTGTGTGAGTGCGCAGTGTGAGTGCAGTGTGAGAGTGTGCAGTGTGAGTGCACAGTGTGTGAGTGAGTGCACTGTGAGTGCACAATGTGAGTGCAGTGTGTGTGTGCAGTTTGTGTGTGTGAGTGAAGTGTATGTGAGTGTGCACTGTGAGTGTGTGTGTACAGTGAGTGCAGTGTGTGTGTAGTGAGTGCAGTGTGTGTGAGTGCACAATGAGTGGTGTGTGTGTGCACAGTGAGTCGTGTGTGTGTGTAGTGAGTGTGTGGGTGCACAGTGAGTGCTGTGTGTGTGTGTGTGTGCGTGCAGTGTGTGAGTGTAGTGTGTGTGCACAGTGTGAGTGAGTGCTGTGAGTGTGAGTGGTGTGTGCACAGTGTGAGTGCAGTGTGTGTGTGTGCAGTGAGTGTGAGTCCTGTGAGTGTGTGTGCAGTGTGTGTGGTGTGAGTGCAGTGTGTGTGTGTGCACAGTGAGTGCAGTGTGTGAGTGCAGTGAGTGTAGTGTGTGTGAGTGCACAGTGAGCGCACAGTGAACGAGTGCAGTGTGTGTGTGCAGAGTGCAGTGTGTGTGAGTGCAGTGAGTGCAGTGTGAGTGTGCACAGTGTGAGTGCACAGTGTGTGAGTGCAGTGTGAGTGAGTGCAGTGTGTGGTGCAGTGTGAGTGTGCAGTGTGTGAGTGCAGTGTGAGTGAGTGCAGTGTGTGTGCAGTGACTGCACAGTGTGTGAGTGTGTGCAGTGAATGTGCACAGTGTGTGAGTGCAGTGTGTGAGCAGTGTGTGTGAGTGCAGTGAGTGAGTGTGCACTCACACTGGGGCGCCTGTGGTCACTGGCACAGCTCAGAGCCGCCCGGGGGGCGGGGCTTCACACAGCGCATCGCTTGCACGATGACGTAGTAGCTGCGCGCATGCTCAGATACACGCCTGTGGCCGCCGCCGCGAGCCCGACAACCGCCAACCGTCAACTAACCGCCAACCAACCGCCAGACCAGGTACCGGGAGCAGCCGCAGAGCCGGGGGTCGGGGTTGTAACCGAGGTCGGGGGTGTAGATGGGGTCGGGGGGGCGGCCGCTGCGGCCGGAGGGCGGCTGTTGGGGCCGGGGGTTGGGGCCGGCGGGCGGTGTTGGGGGCGGCCTCGGGTCGGGGGTTGGGTTCGGGGGCGGTGTTGGGGTCGGGGTTGGGGCGGTGTTGGGTCGGGGGGGGGGGGGGTGTTGGGGTCGGGGTTGGGGGCGGTGTTGGGGTCGGGGTTGGGGGCGGTGTTGGGGTCGGGGTTGGGGGCGGTGTTGGGGTCGGGGTTGGGGGCGGTGTTGGGGTTGGGGGGTGGTCTCGGGTTCTCGGGGATGCGGTTCCGGGAAAGTCAAACTTTAAATAATTTTGCTCTTTTTTCGGGGTTTTTGATTCTGAAACAACAACCGTGTCTCCCCGGCCCGGGGGGGGCCGTGCGGTTACTGAGACCCGGGCAGTGCGGTTACTGAGACCCGGGCAGTGCGGTTACTGAGACCCGGGCCGTGCGGTTACTGAGACCCGGGCAGTGCGGTTACTGAGACCCGGGCCGTGCGGTTAGTGAGACCCGGGCCGTGCGGTTAGTGAGACCCGGGCAGTGCGGTTACTGAGACCCGGGCAGTGCGGTTAGTGAGACCCGGGCCGTGCGGTTACTGAGACCCGGGCCGTGCGGTTACTGAGACCCGGGCCGTGCGGTTACTGAGACCCGGGCAGTGCGGTTACTGAGACCCGGGCAGTGCGGTTACTGAGACCCGGGCCGTGCGGTTACTGAGACCCGGGCAGTGCGGTTACTGAGACCCGGGCAGTGCGGTTACTGAGACCCGGGCCGTGCGGTTACTGAGACCCGGGCAGTGCGGTTACTGAGACCCGGGCAGTGCGGTTACTGAGACCCGGGCAGTGCGGTTACTGAGACCCGGGCAGTGCGGTTACTGAGACCCGGGCCGTGCGGTTACTGAGACCCGGGCCGTGCGGTTACTGAGACCCGGGCCGTGCGGTTACTGAGACCCGGGCAGTGCGGTTACTGAGACCCGGGCAGTGCGGTTACTGAGACCCGGGCAGTGCGGTTACTGAGACCCGGGCAGTGCGGTTACTGAGACGGGCCTGAGCTCTGGACTCGGATCTGTTTGGAAACATTAATTGTTGGACTTTCATGATCTTTGGAATTTATAGAAAAAGGTTCAACTTTGGTGAGATCCGGGATGGACATTAGCGACTTTGTTTACTTAATAAGAAGCTTTTATCAAAATTATAATCCGCCTAAATAGCACTCACTGAATATCAAAGGCTTTATTGTTGTCAAGTGCTTTGAGACGTTATCATGATTGGTTTTGTATCTGTTAAGTCTGCAAATATCTCATTATTACTTGATGTTTTAATGGAAAGGTTGCCATTCTGGACTGAATGAGTTTCTTCTATCTGAACCTTTCTGGCGATATTTGACAGAGAATAGATATTTGATGCTTATAGTTGAGTTTCGGGGTGTCAGTCTGGCTCAGCTGGTGACAGGTGTTTGGGAGATTAGATCATATGACTTTCTGATCTGTATGGGCAGAGGAGGAACATTTGACTCTCACTTGTAAATAATACATTATAATCTTTACATAAACATAACAGTTTGACCTTGAAATTAGCTTATTTGTTTTTTTTGACAAATGTTGGTATGTTCCCTGCTTTGTCCCTTAACCTACAGATGTATTTTTCAGATTCAGCTGTAAATGCATCCCAGACAGCGAGCACAGGATGAAGAAGGCAAGCAGGTCTGCTACTGCAGCATCCAAACTACAGTGTAAACTGCCGACCACTGAGAAGGGCAAATCAGACAACTGTTCGGTAACTTCAGCCACCAAGACTTCAAAAACGACAGGGATCACAGCAGCATTAACTAAGGTTATGTTATATTTGCACCACCCCTCTCCTATACCCATCTAATTTAATATTGAATTGGTCACTTCAATCCACAAATGTTTGTGGGACACTGCTGTGCACAATTGATTGCTGTGTTTTGCCCACAAAATCCAGGCTTGACAATGCAACGCCCTGCTTGTCGGCCTCCCCAACTCCTCCCTCCATAGGCTTCAGATCATCCAGAACTCTGCAACTCATGTCCTCTCCTGCACTAGGCTCCATGACCCTATCACCCCCATCCTTGCCCGACTCCACTGGCTTCCCATCACACAGAGTTCAAGATCCTGGTCCTTACTTCAAAGTCCTTCATGGTCTTGCCCCCTACTACGTCTCCAACCTGCTAACCTCTTATCAACCTGTCCGCTCCCTCCACTCAGCGGGCTCCATGACCGACCCCCAGCCCACTCCATCTGTGGCCGGGCCTTCAACCTCTCTGCCCCCAACCTCTGGAACTCTATCCCAAAGTTCATTTGACTCGCTCCCTCCCTTGCCTGATTCAAGGCCCGCCTCAAGTCCTTCCTCTTCGGCCACCTTCCAACCTTCCCTGCCCTCCACCCTGTCTGATCCGCGCCCCACTCCCTGCTCGGGTCCTAATCCCTGACTGTTCAGCACCTTGGGACATCCTCCTGACATGAAAGGAGCTTTACAATGTCATTTTGTATTGCTTATTTTGTGAAACGCTTTGAGACATCTCAGAGACGTGATCAGGCACCTTATCAAATGCAAGGTTTATTATTATTATCTTTTCCCTCATAAATATATCAAGTTTCCCCTTACATTTGTTGATGTTTTCTGTTTCAACCATAACTTTCACCACCAAGTTCCACATCCTTGCCATTCTGTGCGTAATGCTAAGCTGATAGAGTTGGGTTTGGTTTTATTTCCCTCCTCATTTGGGGGAGATGCTGGCCAGCCTCCACGGGTGATTCCATGAACTGTGCTGAGTTTGAGTCTGAGCCTGTGTTGCTGATCTCTGTGATGTCTTATATTAACAGTGCAGTGCCACCACTATATCCTTCATTTGTTTAAGATTTTCAGCTCATTTGCATGAGAGTTTGTTCTGCAGTTTGATTTTTGGCAATGTTTGTTCAGTGCTGTAGGTAAAGCTAAGTGGCATGAGGAACCAGTGGAAATTCCCAACGTTTTTACCAATATCCTAACAATATCCTAACAGGAAGTATCGCAGTTTTACGGTAATGTAATTTTACAACATTTCAGACAACAAGAAATGCTTGCTCTAGTGTCTGCCAGTGACTGACAACTATTTCCTTCAATGGAGAAGTTATTTTAAAAGTACTTCCAGTTGGAATGCAGATTTTCTAACCAATAGCATAATTTCTCCCTCACATCCGCACCACAACTGGCACCGCCTTCCATCGCCAGACTACGGCACTACCTCACCCCTCACGCGGCTGAAACCCTGGTTCACGCCTTTGTCACCTCAAGGCTGGACTATGGGAACTCTCTCCTCGCCGGCCTTCCCGCCACCTCCCTCCACACTGCAGGTCATTCAGAACTCTGCAGCTCATGTACTGTCCCGCACCAGACACCGCGACCACATCACTCCCACCCTCACCCTCGCCCTCACCCTCGCTCGGCTCCACTGCTCCCCATCCCCCAGAGGATTGATTTCAAGATCCTCATCCTCACCTATAAGGCCATCCACGGCCTCGCTCCCTCCTACCTCTCCGACCTACTATCCCCCTACCTACCTGCCCGTACCCTCCGTTCCTCCGGCTCCGGTCTGTTCCACGTCCCCCGCCCCAATCGCCCTACCATCGGTGGTCGGGCCTTCAGCCTCTCAGCCCCGAGGCTCTGGAACTCCATCCCCCAGTGCCTTCGCCTTTCCTCCTCCCTTTCCTCCTTCAAGGCCGGTCTCAAAACCTTTCTCTTTGACCGAGCCTTCAGCTCCCCTCTCGACTCTCTTCCCCCTCCTCGCTCCCTCCTTTCCCTCCCCTCACCCTGACCATTTCCCCCCTCCTCGCTCCCTCCCTTCCCTCCCCTCACCCTGACCATTTCCCCCTGCTCGGGTCCTGACCCAACTGTGCAGTGCCTTGGGACGTCCCCCTGACGTGAAAGGCGCTTTATAAATGGAATCTTGTTGTTGTTGTTGTTGTTTCTCAGTTTTCTGCAGCTCAGGATGCTTGTAAAGAATGTTGCAGTCAGGGTATCATTTGAAGGGGATAAAATACACCCCGATTATAATTTGTTACTGTGATTGGTGTTTCCTTTGTTGCTCTGTCATAATTTCTAAAATGTTCTGAGGGAAATAAATGGAATTATCAATGTGCTGTGGTACGCTATACTGATTGTTTGTCCTGTGTTTTCCCCAAATAGACCAAGAGCAGGAGCAATGATGATCTGTTGGCTGGCACGGCTGGCGGACTAACAGTAAACAATAATACCAAAGTGAAGAAGAACGTTTGTTCATCAGCGGCGGGACCCACAAGCTTTTCAGCTTCTGGATTGACCACAAACTCTAACCAAGACAGCAAAGCAAAGCACACGGCAGGTTTGTTTGAACTGCAGTCTCTCCCTCCCACCCCCCCACCCCTTCTCGGTATCCAACCCTGTCCCTGTGAAGCGCTCTGAGATATTATCCTATGTGAAGGGAGCTATATATATGCAAGTTTTTTTTGTTATAAAGTCCATAATTAAATACCAGAATTTTATCCATGTCGCTTGTATTTCAATTAAGAATACTCATACTTGTTCCCAGTATTAAAGCAACTGTACATGTGCAAGTTGACGTGATATGCTTTTAACGAGATCTTGCTTCCTATACCTCATTTTGAATATATATTACAAGAATTTGCAACCTATTCCTTTAAATAAATTTAAACTAAATTATACAAATCTTGAGTGCTGCTGGCATAGCTAGGAGCCATACACATAATAAAGAACAAACCTAAAAGAGGAAAACTGCATTGATTTTTTTTAAAAAAGACATTAACGAAGAGAACATCTATAAGGCGAAAGGAGAGGACAGAAAGAGTCTGGTTTATCCTAGTATATTAGTGCTTGGGATGTCCTCCCAGCATGGAAGGCACTAAATAAATGTAAATTTGTTATTTGGGTTGATGAAGTTCCTGATAATTACAGTAACTGTTTCAGCATGTCAGAGCATGAGCTGGAGATGTACAAAGTTGGGTGGCCCAGTGTCACCTCAGAGTTTCCTGTAGATTAAACTGATAATAGCATTTTGCAATATACCATAATTGTTCAACTAAATTAAAATAAAAGGTTTAAATAACATTAATACTAATTATTTTTGAAACTTGGCAATTTTATTTTATCTCTGACAGCTCTGCATACAGAGAATAAAAACTTCATCAGTCAGAGCTAGTACTTACACATCTGTCCTTGTTACCTACCAGACATTAGACACTGGAAATCCCAGTGAATTAGAAATATAACTTAATTAAGAAGGATTTAACTTTCTGGTGTGGTATTTCACTTTCTGTGTTTTTAATTTCACAGCGACAGCAATGCAATGGGATAACACCAATTGGGTTTGAGATGACCTGTAATTTCTTTGTTACTGCTATCTTGTTTCTTTGCTGTGTATGTTTATGGAGCCATGTTTTCCTTTATTGGACATTGGAAGTGAAAATGTTTATCATAAGGCTCTAGTTTAAGAGGAACGCCACAAAAAATGTTACAACAAATTTATATGATGTTTTTAAGAATAAAAATGAGCACTTTTGTTTGCACGGCTGGGAATAAAGTATCAGCAATTCTAACAGGGTAACCTATTTGTATTTGTTTCCAATTTTTAAAAAATATTAATTGTGTAACAGGTATGAGTGCTGCCGCCAAGAGGAATGTATCTGCAGGAAATAAAGACATCACCTCAAACAGAGACAAAATTCGAGATCGCCCACGACCAAACATAAGCAAGAAATTGTCATCCGCCGGCCAGGGAGGTAACGAGGCAGCAAAACGCTCACGTAACCGGATTTCAACAGAGTCTGAGACTAGAATAAGCAAGTCAAAGTCTGATAGCCAGATAAGTGATAAAGCGGCTTTGGAAGGAAAGGTAAAGGATCTTTTGGCTTTAGCTAAGAATAAGGACGTGGAGATTCTACACCTGAGAAATGAATTGAGAGACATGCGTTCACAACTGGGACTGAGCAGCGACTTATTGGAGGGAGAGGAAAAGGCTGAAGAGAAAGAGAGTACGACGCTTCAGCCTAGAGATGTGGAGTCCAGCCTTCTCCAGCTGGAAGAGCAGAACTGTGCAATCCGGGATGAACTGAACCAACTGAAGAATGAAAACAGAATGTTGAAGGATCGACTGAACGCTCTTGGCTTCTCTTTAGAGCAAAGGTTAGACAGCACAGAAAAACTGTTTGGTTATCAGTCCTTGAGTCCTGAAGTGACTGCGGGCAGTCAGAGTGATGGTGGAGGCACCTTCGCATCTTCTGTGGAGGGATCGGCACCTGGATCCATGGAAGATCTTTTAAGCCAGGATGAGAACACATTGACCGACAACCGTAGCAATTCCATGGACAACCTGGACAGTGAATCGAGTGAGGTGTACCAGCCTCTTACCTCCAGTGATGATGCTTTAGACGCTCCCTCATCATCCTCCGAGTCTGAAGGTGCACCAAGCAGGGAATGCTCCAGGAAAGGAAGTAGTGGCAATGCAAGTGAGGTTTCTGTGGCTTGTTTAACAGAGCGCATTCACCAAATGGAGGAAAACCAGCACAGCACAGCAGAGGAACTGCAAGCTACTCTTCAGGAACTTGCAGATCTTCAGCAGATAACACAGGAACTAAACTCTGAAAATGAGAGGTTGGGTGAAGAAAAGGTCATTCTGATGGACTCTTTATGCCAGCAGAGTGATAAATTGGAACATTTCAGTCGACAGAATGAGTACTTCCGCACGCTCCTGGATGAGCACCACATCTCTTATGTCCTAGATGAAGACGTGAAGAGTGGCCGCTACATGGAGCTGGAGCAACGGTACATGGATCTGGTTGAAAATGCTCGCTTTGAACGTGAGCAGCTTCTTGGAGTGCAACAGCATCTCAGCAACACACTGAAAATGGCAGAGCAGGACAACAAGGATGCTCAGGAGTTGATTGGTGCACTTAAAGAACGTAACCACCACATGGAGCGGATCATGGAATCGGAGCAAAAAGCCAAAGCAGCGCTTGCTGGGGCTTTAGAAGAATATAAAGCAACTGTGGCAAATGATCAGATTGAGGTGAACAGATTCAAGGCGCTGCTGGAACATGAGAAGCAGAAGGTGGCAGAGTTGTATGCTTTCCACAACGCGAGTGACAAGTCTGATTTACAAGAGCTATTGGAGAACACGCGACTGGACAAAGAGAGGATCGAGGCCTTGTACAATAATCTACAGGAGGAGCTGGCCCACACTCGCAATGATGCCAATCGACTGCAGGATGCCATTACTAAGGTATGATAGTAAAAGTATTGAATCGTCACTTTTGAGGTTTCCAATTAACTTGTTAGCATAACTATGCGGTAGCCGCTTGAGAGTCTGTAACCAGCGATACCAGTATAAGATAGTGACAGTAAAAGAGAATTTAGAAGGAATTAGTTCCTGCAGAGGATAGTGAAAATGTATAACTTCCTGTTCAAGTTGTGGTTGAATATATATACTATTAAGAGGAAGCTAGACCTTCATAAGAGGGAGCGGGGAATAGAATGTTATAGCAGCGAGTAAGGAATGCTTGGAGACTTGTGGAATATAAACACTGATGTGGACTGGGTGGGTCGAGTGGCCTGTCTCAATGCTGTACTGTCATCATAAATCTGTGTAAACCTCAGAATAACGACGGCACCTTCAATACTGCAGCCCCCACCCCCCCACTCCATTGGTGAACGTAGATATGAGTCTCCACTTCGTGACATAGGAACTCACCACCTTCTGACCCAGAGCCACTCTGGCACCAAGTCAGACACACCCCTAGATACTTGTAGACCAGAGTATAGAGTCTTTGTGATGTCTCAAAATGTAGTGTAAACAGGACAAATTAAATGGCTTTAACAGTCCAGGATGGTGTTGTGCAGCATTCAGTTGATTTTATTTTGCCTCTGAGAAAAATGTCTGTTGAGAGAAGAAGGTGCAAAATTCCAGGAGTCTCTACTATGCATTGGCATTCCCAAGTGAAGAGGTGTTCATTCATGATTCATCACTTTGATGTCTAGTTTCATCTTGTGTGTATTGTAAGTTCCTGTCGCACAATTTAAATCCTAATTAATTTACAGAAGTTTGGGGACTGGTGATTGCCATTGTTGTGATTGGTGCTGGATTTATACTGTCTGCTGATGTTGAAATCAACTTCTGTTGATAAAATCAATTCATCAGTTAGGGATATATACTTCCATATAGGAATCATGGATTCTCAGAAAAAAAAGCACTTGTATCTTTATTGCACCTTACTCATCAGTGTTTAAGTGTTTTCGAGTTGTTGTTGAGGAAGTATGTTTAATTTTGGTGGAGTGTCCCAGTAAACCCAGGACAATTTTAAATTTTATCTGGGGCATTGTTGGCCAGGACAGAGAAACCCCCTAAGTATCGAATAGTACCGTGGGTTCTTTAACTTCCATCTAAACATGCAGAGAGGATGTTGTTTTGTGTTGGTTTAACGTCTTATCCAAAGAATGAGTGAGCGAGCTGCAGAAATTGGACCCTACCTGTTCCAGCACAGCCTCTTGCTAAGCAAAACTCATAACTCGTGGGTCAAGTATAAACCAGTGGAAACATCTGCACAACTGCTGGTTGGGGAGGAGAAATAGACGTACATTGCTGCTGTCCCAATACCAAGAAAACTAACAGCATGGCTTACCATATAGTGTATGTTTATTGTTTATTGGCTGATTCCCGCACCTTGAATGTATTGTAGGTTGAAGATGAATATAGAACTTTCCAGGATGTTGCCAAAAAGCAGATTGAAGATCTTAACTTGACCCTGGACAAACTCCGAACTGAAGCAGAAGAAAAGGAAACTGAAATCAGTGACATGAAAGAGACTATTTTTGAACTAGAGGATGAAGTGGAACAGCATCGAACTGTCAAACTCCATGATAATCTCATCATTTCTGATTTGGAAAGTAAGTATAGCAAAATCCGTTATTCTTGAAGTTTGCGGTAAGTTCACTGATCTCAGCAGTTGCTCTGAGTACTCCTGGGCTAGGAGTTCCTGTTCCTGATTGTTATCCCATGAGTCGTGCTGAGCATAGTTGTGTGGATATTAAGTAAGAACACATTTGACTTGGTAACTTTATACTATAATGTTCTTTCTCAAATGGGGTAAACAATAAACCCTGGCTAACTGGGAGATCCTGTTCGCCATGCAGAATTCGCAGCTAAGCGTAATTACAATGCCGGACACCAGACGCCAGAGAAGGCGGGAAGCCGGCCATTGCTTTCTCTCATGTGCGGGCCATGCCTAGGAGTGTCTCACTAGATTATTTGACTCAATTGATTTTAATGCTGTTATTGTGTAATTTACTTTCATAACCACAACTTGCATTTATATAGCGCCCTTCACGTGGGGTAGTGTCTCAGAGTGCTTCAATATCATCAAATTGTCAGGTTTTAAATCAGAAGTGGTAAATATGACACCAATCATTTCAAATTATTCAGTCACTGCTTCTTGAAGATTGGGTATTATGAGACTATTTACTGGGGTTCTGAATATTTGTTAAACATGTAAATGTCAATCATTTGACAGTAAATTGAAATTCTGCTTTGAGCAGAATTGATATGATTTACTATATGTATTATTCTAGAAAACTGCATTCTCATAACTGAACTTTATTCTGATATTTCATGACCATTCCTCAGGTATATCTTGAAAAGAAGTTTGTGATAGAATTGGCATTGTATTAGTGTAATCATAACATTCTGATTTATTGTGGGTACTTTCTCATTTGCAGACACTGTTAAAAAGCTTCAAGACCAGAAGCATGACATGGAGAGAGAGATTAAAATCCTTAACCGCAAGCTCAGGGTGGGTGCTCTTGGTTTACTGCGGCGATTGTTCTTAGTATCATTCTGTACTGTATGGCATTATTGTATTGTACTGGAAGCTGGAGCAGTCTCATTCCCCTTTCCTATTATTGACAACCAGCTTCGCTTGCAACCAACAGATCCAATGTGGAATGTAGATTGACACACAGACAGACATTACATCCTTATCTAGACTCCTGTGGGAGGACTCCTGTGGGAGGACTCCTGTGGGCGGACTCCTGTGGGAGGACTCAGTGCTCTAAAAATGTAATTTTGATGTTGTTGCCTCGGATTAGTTTCGTCTGTTGTTTATTTTGTTCCTGCCGCTTAGCCACATGCGTGCTCTATCACGCAGGATGTCACAGCGCCACGGTCAGCAGGTGTGGCCACCAGCGTAACTGTAGTGTGTGTGTGTATAGTGTGCGCTGTGACACACGAAGCCACAGCGCCACTTTGACCTGGTGGCCACCACAACGACAACAACAATAAGATTGCGTTTATAGAGCGCCTTTCACGTCGGGAGGACGTCCCAATGTTACACACCAGCGAAAAATACAAAACTGAAAATAGCTCATGAACGATAGGAGATACCCCAAAAGAATATGCCCATGTCACTCCCAGTACAAGGTCTTTTCAATGAGGTAAAAATCACGTCTCTATGTCAATCGGTTATTGAGATCCTTCTTGAAGCGCAGAAAGACATTGTTTTATTGGTACAGATCTCTAATAAAGAAAATTTAAACACCATAAAAACTACACTTTTTTCTTGTAATAAATTGGCCACTGTTGGTGGCCAATTTATTAATTTATAAATTTATAATTTATATCAATTTATCAATTTATAAATTGTTCATTGTGGTGAAAATTACCACAGATAAAATGCAGGTTTTACAATTTAACCCAATATTTTAAATCTTGATCAGAATCACACACGCTGGCAAAATCAAGTTTATTACAAAACCATCAAATGTAACGTGCAACCTGTTTTTAAACAATTGGATCTAATCCTTGTATGAGCTATAGGTTCCTTGAGATGTTTCTATGTAATATTGTTATACCAGATATTAAAAATTAAAATCAAATTATCCTGGATAGGTAACTAATTGACTCTTAATTGTTTAAACCACTGATTTTGAACGGAGTCATTTTCAAGAAAATGAAAATTGGAAACTGTAGGCTCAGATATTGGTTGAAACTGTTATTTTGTCAGGAGATTGGAAGAAATCTCTATCTTGACATTAAGAAAAGTTTCTCATGAAAGTGTTTTTGTGTTTGAATAGGAAGAGTCGGCTGAGTGGCGGCAGTTTCAGGCTGACCTACAAACTGCAGTTGTTATTGCAAATGATATTAAATCGGAGGCACAAGAAGAAATCAGTGATCTCAGACGCAGACTGCATGAGTCAGTGGATAAAGCTGACAAACTCAACAAGGAGTTAGAGGAAGTAAAGACACGGAAGTACGTGGGAAGTTGTGGCGCAGTCTTTAATTTGATGAGTGGTTGTATCTGGTGCTAGATTAATGTAGCACTGTTATCTGTCTGACTAACTTATTCATTACTTGGCATTTCACGTTGAATTCTATTGTAGTCAAAAGTATTTTTGTTTAGATGAGGCCACACTGAAATATAATAATGTATTGTTCATCAATTTTCTCAGGAATGACCCTAAAGAGATGTATAAGATGTTTAAGGAGAGAGAGAAAGAGAGTAAACAATTTTTCTCAGAAATTACTCTTTAAGGAGATATAAGCTGTTTAATGAGAGAGAGAGAGACTGGGAGTAAACTAATTAGTAAACCCAGGAAAATTTTAATTTTATTTGGGGGATTGTTGGCGAGGACGGAGAAACTCTTCTAGTCTCGAATAGTACCAAGGGATATTTAACGTACATCTAAACATAGTGACAGGATGTTGTCCTGTGTTGGTTTAACGTCTTATCCAAAGGATGGTACCTCTAGCACTAGAGTGGCAGTGTATTTGATGAGTTTGAAATCCTTGACTCAGGCTGAACCAGGTCTGGCATAGTCCTATTAATGAAAATGATATACTGTGATAGGTCGACACATGCAGCATTGAGCAGTTGTACATGAGTATCCAGATGAGCTGTTGTGGCCAGCATCACAAGACTTTCTTGTACTTTCTTGTGTTTGTACGAGAAAAAAAATATCCAAAATAAATTGCTGGGAATGATGAGATATGAGAAAGATATAATCCAAATGATTAATACTATTATTATTGGGGAAACTTAATATATAATAATAATTCTTGCATTTAATAATTCTTTTCTTGCACCTTATCATGTCTTCGAGATGTCACAAAGCGCTTCACAGTATATACTGTAAAGTATATATATATTATATTAGACTATATATATATTAGACTATATATCCTGTGGATGCAATGCGGCAGCCAATTGCACACAGCATTGTCCCACAAACAGTCATCGATTGAGTGACCAAATTTTTTTTTAAGGTATTATTACCTCTGGAAAGCGATCCTCCAATTGACTAACAGCTGCATTCCTACTTACTGCTAGTTAAACAGAGGCGTATGGAGTAAGGAAACTTGCCTAACATTTCACCCTGGCGGGAATTGAACCCAGGTCTCTCGCTTGCGAGGCGAGTGCTCTAACCACTGAGCTACAGGGCTCCACAATAACAACAGCAACAACAAAATTACATTTATATAGCGCTTATTTCTTCCTCTACCTCTTACAGTATATTCTGTGAAGTGCTTTGGGACATCTAGAAGACGTGAAAAGCGCTATATCAAATGCAAGGATTGTTATTATTATTATTATTATTATTACCTGAGAACTCTCTCCTGGTTCCTTTGTAAAGTAATGTTGGTATAGATTGTAAAGTAAATGTTAGTATCGATTCAGTTTTTTGGATTGTGTTTTAGGCAAGATGAAGAACGTGGCCGTATGTACAATTACATGAATGCTGTCGAGCGAGATCTCGCTGCTCTGAGACAAGGCATGGGACTGAGCCGCAGATCATCCACCTCCTCAGAACCATCCCCAACAGTCAAAACACTTATTAAATCTTTTGACAGTGCTTCTCAAGGTAATCATCTGAATCTTTTATTGATGTAAAGTTATTTTGACATCTTAGAATCATAATAGCTTGAGAAAATATGCATTAATTTTCTTGAGATAAAACCATGGATTGTCTCTTTCTCTTCCCCTTTTTCTAGTTGTCCCCAGTACGACCACAGCTGCCATTCCTCGAAGCCCTCTCAGTCCAAGCCCCTTGAAAACACCTCCAGCAGCTGCTGTTTCACCAATGCAGGTTAGTCTCTCTCTGTGCCTTATACACTATTATACAAGTATAATTTGTTGTTGTTATACAGCTGGAATTCACAGAGGATACCTTTTCCATCCTCTGTCCATGTTGCTGACTTTCCAAAGTATTCCTGCATAGACATGAAATTGATACTTTCATGAATTTTCATTGTTTTCTGAAGCCCACGGAAACAAACGATACAGAAAGAGGCCATTCAGCTCATTCTGTTTTGTGTAAATTCCATTTAAGCGAGTATTGAAAATTTATGCTACTGTTTCTGTTGTAATTGAAAACCGGTGATGAACATCGCATAAACTTGGATTAGAAATATTGGAGAACATTTATCTAGAAAGCACTCAGGTTGTCAGCCTGGAATACATTATACAAATCTCACCTGAATTGTTAGTCTGTCACATCAATTTCCATATTTCCTTTGAAAAGGCTAATTGCCCATGAGTGATTTTACTACTCTGGAGTCAAACATTCACCAAGTTTATATGGAAAGTAAAGGTTCTTGTTGTTGTATTTGGGGATTTGTAATTTCCAAATGATTGAGCTGTCGGGGAGATTAAAATAATTATTGCTGGTGCAGAATGTTTTGCAAAACTGATTTAATACAAGAAATTAATTTGATTTTCACAATTGGAAATAGATTTTCTCTGAACTTGCTGCAGTTCACTCAGTCACCAGTAGATGGTGCTTGAGCCTGGAAAGGGTTGGATATTTGCAAATTATAGCCACAGCAGCTGCAGTATCCACTCATCAAAAGTAATTGATTTTCTTCTTTTCATTAAAAATATCAATCTCTTCATGGACTCAAAATACACTCTTGCTTTAAGAATTGAGTATAAATGTATGTCTTGTATGTTCACAGAGACATGCCATCAGTGGACCGATCTCTACACCAAAGCCTCTCTCAGCACTAACAGACACAAGACAGAGTTACACTGATTTGTCTCTCCCAGGTGAGTCTTCTTCAGTGAAACAGGAAATTACATTCTAACTCTTTACAAATTGCTCCAGTCACCAAACCTGATCAGTAAACTGGAAATGTGTGAATACTTGAGCTCATGAATCAATGTAGAGTTAGATTTGATGATGAAGACTAAAGATCAAAATGAAAAGCCACAAAGGTAATTTATTTTTTGACAATGTTGCTGTTATGATGAATTGCACATTTTATACAGTGTGAAGTGGTTTGATACATCTTTTCAACATGAAAGTCAACAATAAAATGAATTTATATAGCTTATCCATGCAGGTAGGTCTTAGAGCGCCTTAACAGCAGTGTAGCTTGATGCCATATAACTTGTTAAATCACTGTAAGTCACTATATAAAATACTGAGTCAGATTTTTTAAAATAAATAAAGATACTTTGTCAAAGTAGTTTTTTAAAATTTTCATTAGTGTTTTGAAAGCTCTAAGCGCTCTGAGATGCCGTCCGGCGTGGAGGGCGCTATATAAATCCAAGTTGTTGTTTAAAATACAAAAATTGTAGCGATTCAAAGTATTTATATTAAATTTCCCTCGTGAAGTCCAATTGATACCGGAAATTCCAGGCTGTTGTGTATCTACGTGATGAATTTTGTGGCTTCTCACTGGACATCTTTGGAAATGGAACTGTTTACTGGAGAGGGAGAGAAGAGAAAAACATATCTGATGCATTGCTCCACATCCAATTCATCTCATCGCTAACAATGAGATGAAAGCTTTATTGGCTTTCCAGTTAATAAAGGTTACATGAAATCAAACACTTGGGTTTAAAATAGCCATAAGCAGAACTATGTAGATTACAGAAACATTTATGGACGTCTGCATTTTTTCGAAACATTATTCATTGCTCTTCAATTGGCGAGTGTCCAGTTTGCACAATTAAACATGATTCCTAATACTGTTCTCTCCTGATTGCGCAACGTTGGAAGCAAGAGACAGATATAGCCAATGATCTGTCAGATTTGGCTTCTCTCGTTATACAGCAAATGCATTCAGTTAATAGCAAGCTGTGATCTTTTAATATATCAGCTCTACGCTAAAGAAAATCATGTCAGCAGCACTCAGTCTAGCTGAGACTTCTAACAACTGTGAGGGAAATGATCAGAAACAAATGAAAGCAAATTAAATAGCCTTTTACTATTGTTCTGTGGATAATGTCTTTATAATTACATGCCAACTAATGGAAATACATTAACAGTAATCAATAAAAACAATTCTGGAATGAATGTGTGAATGACAGATTGTTATATCTATTATTGAAGATCATGTAGCTATTATATGTTCAGTTGATTTGCATTTCCATTGATTTGCCTCCTTTGCTCTTGATGTTGACTATAGAATTCACCTCTTTTAAAGGAAGAGTGCAGATAGCTGGTGTGCACCCAGGCAGGTTTCTAAACCTACTACTGGGGGGATTTCATTTCTTTCCATGATAGGAAGCTACTTCTGCTTGACATGTTCTTCTGTCACCTGGCTGAGACCTGCTAATGAGAGGTTAGGGATTGCTGAGTTAAACTGAATTCGAGACCATGCCATCCATCGTTATTCATACTGTACAACTGAAACCAGCCACATAGTGAGAACAGACAGATTCTTCCTATAAAATATCTGTCTTCTCTCCGTCTGCTGATAAAGGAACTTACATTAAGAATAGTAAATGGAAAAAGCAGTGTAGAGACTTACATTGTGCTTAATTCAACTTTAGTCTCAGAAGATACTCCATTAGAGCCATTAGCAAATACAAACATGGATAATTTAAATTGCATTAAGTGTGAACTTTCTGTTTAATATTTTTAGTTGCTGATTCAATACAAAATACAATACAAAAGTAGACTTGTATAGCGCCTTTCACGTCGGGAGGATGATGTCACCAAGAGGGAGCATGTAGATATTGAAGACCAAAGACAGAGAGCCCTGAGGAAAGCATCAGCAACATGTATAAACATAGAGTAGACAGGAGAATGAAACTGATTGAAAAATAAGATAACAGGACACCCAGCGATGCACAAGAAACTGGTCACAAATTAAATAGAGAAATATGAGACTTTTCATTCTCAGGAAACTCATTTTAATGATAAGTTTCTTTTTATTGTTTTACTTTTATGTTCTACTGCCAGAAATTGTCTTTTAGATTTGGATATTCTTGAAAACCAAATTGATTTAAATGCTGTGAACTGTTTAATATTGTTTCAATGTGAGTTTCTTTTATTGAGTTCCATTAGCAGGCATGTTAAATCGCATCTCTTTGTTGCAACGCAGTTAGGATGATCTTTGCCAACAGACTGCCTCACTTGTTGGTGGCTAGTTTCAAGAGACAGTAACTTTTCCTCTTCAAATGCTCCAAATATAATCTTTATAAAATGAAAATAGTCAGATTTCTACTTTCATGCCATAAAAATAAAGTGGGATGGGTAGAAAGGGAGTGAGAAACTGGAACAGATTATAGTTTTTTCTAAACCAAAGTTATCATTTTTTTGATGAGTACAAAGCACCACTTCTTTGTCTTGTGTTTGCCTTACAGCGGATCATTTACTTAGATCTTCCTCGGCCAATAGATCTCCAGCCTCTTTACAGCGAGTTCAGACTATTGACTCGGCTAAATCCATTTCGGGTAAGTGCAGTCACCAAACAAAGTACCTTAATGTGCAGGGAAATTATGCATAAGTTCAGTGAAAAATTCTGATTGGCTGAGAACTGTTGTAAATGGCCTCTTCTTTTTAACAACAACTTGCACTTGTATAGCGCCCTCCTCGCAGGGAAGCATCTCAGAGCGCTTTTAATCTCTTTTCAGTTCGAGCACAGAACTCGGGAGTATTCAGCAGTCATTTGCATAATTGCTTACATTAACAGTGTAGCTTTCAAACTCTGTGCTAAGAATGATATGAAGAGCTCTGAACTCGAGCAAGATTTGGCCCAGTGGCCTTTGGAGATGGCTGTTGTAGAGCAGGGATTTCACTGAAAGGCTACATTTGTGCATCCAGTACATCACATTAGTGAATGTTTCCCCTGTATTATCCAGGCACATTTGCCATATCTATGTATAGGATTCGTGCTGGTACAGACATTGTCTGCTATCTACCTTTGATGGGAATGAATGTTGAATTTGGGGCTTTATGGTGACATAGCTGAACCGCACAATAAGGTAATTGAACATTTAGTACATATAGTATCAATATTTCTCAAATAGCAATTGAAAATCCACAAACGTTTGTTACATCTATTGAGGTTATTTACTGAAATATGCATCAACTTCCCATTTAATTGTATGCTATAATCCACATTTTTACATTTTACAATATTTCGAGTATTCCATAATTGGTTTTCTGTGTAATGCTTTGCTTTACTTTTACTCTTAAATAATCTATAGCATCTTCAAATTAGCAACTGTATGAAACTGTTTCCAAGTCAAATAAATATTTAAAATTACTGATATTCAATTAATGTTGCAGAATTGATGGCCTATAAGTAAATGCAATTGTGTCTAAATTAATTGGAAAGACTTGGAAAATTGGAAAATCATTTGGTACTCTCCAAGAGTTGGTATTTTTAGTTCAAAGTGAAACAACAGGAAGTGCATTCAGCATTGCCAAGTCACCTTTGATAATGTGAAGAAGCTTTAAAAAGCCCACAAATATACAGTCAATTCACTTTACAGTGTGTTCTGTGAAGCGCTTTGGGATGTCCTCCCGACGTGAAAAGCGCTATATCAAATGCAAGGATTACTATTATTATTATCAAGCCTTTAATGGTGTTGAAATAACCTGAACACACAGTGCAGAGAGAAACTGAACGTATTTAGTTTGCCAGTTTGTTATCGCCTACTGGAGCATAACAATACAGTCTTTTAATCAGAAGTTTCACTTGTGTTAATCAATGTGAAAATTGCTTTCAGTTGTAAGTGTTTTGATGAATTAAGCCTGTGCGGCACAATGATTTATCTACATCCCTGAGTTGCCACAAATAGATCATTTTATGAGCAGGTCGACCCAAGTGGTTTATCAGTGTTGCATGCATATGGCTGAACACGCACAATATATATATTTAGCTCATTCTCTTTCATGGATGGGGATTAAATTCAATTGTCCATAATTGTATGAAATGTTAAAGTGCAAAGTAGTTGGGGGGTGGGGGAGGGAGGGTGAAGCTAAGTGCTCGTCTTCAACTTTAAACCTAATCTGTGATCTGCACTATTCCCTATTTATCCCTATTTATATAAATGAAAATTATTGCTTAAAAAAAGTTTCACCGCTGAACTAGATATTGCAATTCAAGTAACATATATGCTTCTGTGATGCCATTATACAGAAAATCATAAACCACATGGATGTTTAGCTCTTGAACAGATGATTTTTTTTATTGAGTAAGTGAGTGAGTAGCTTATTTCTCAGTAATGTCCTAAAAACAATATAAATTTGGGGGATATGCTTCATTCCTAACATGGTGATAAAAATGATGGTTCAAGATAAAAATGCCAGCGGGAATATAAATGATCTTTTGGGGAAGAAGAGAACAGAAGGATAAGGTTGCTGACAAGTTCATTTTGTTTTAAAAGTGCCTTTAGATCATTGGAAAAGTCTCAGTTAATGAACCTCATGTTGTTAGAGCATTTGTTAAAGGTTCCTTCCTGACTTCCCGTAATGTGGCTGTTGCTTGCAATTGATTTTTTTTGTTGAAACGAGTTGAACCTGCATGATACCATATTTAATCACCCTTCAACCAATTATTCGGTGATCCTACTTTATTGGGCTTCATGTGCATCAAGATATTCGCTAACTACTCCCACTGACATCCAAATTTGAGAAATTATCTGCTTCTGAAATTCCAGTTTCATCTTCTAGGGTAATGATCCAGTGATCATCAATGATTGATTAATTAATTAATTAATGATTGGTAATCAGTGATCGTCCAACCTCCTCACTTCATTAACACTTGGCTCTCCCTTTGTTTCTGCCAAGAACTTCTTATTAAAAGATCCGCTTGGCATTTGGTTTGTCGGATCAGGATGTCTGTCACATTTGGGGAAAAAATCAATATATTGAGTTTGAGATTGTGAACATTCAAATAGATCCAAATGTTGGACTGTGAAGGGCCTCTCCTTCGATATGATACAACAACAACTTGCATTTATATAGCACCCCTCATGCAGGGTAGCGTCCCAGAGTGCTTGACAATGGCAAAGACTGACACGGAGCCAGGGGGAAGGAGGGAAAAGAGGTAAGGCGCCATACGAAGTGCAAGAATTATTATTATAACATTGTTCACTTCATGGCTGCTTCACACATAAAATAGTCACTCCACTTTATAATAGCGCCGTGTGACGTCTCAATGACATGATAGGGCGCTGTATCAAATGCAGGGATCATTATAATTGTTTGTGAAACCTGCAACCATACCCAATTTGTGGGTTTCAGTTTACTCATGGTATAAATATTCTGTGCTTTTAAAGGAATTCACATATCCATTTGTTATGTCATTATTTTCATAGTTCCTTCTGTGGTCATGACTGTTTTGTGTACAATTAAAAACTGTGTTTAATGAGTTGGTGCCTGCTTGTGGATAGTCTTGTGCTAAGGATTGTGAATAAAATAAATTGATTGAGACTGCGTTCTACCTAGATCCTGCCTTCGAGATGCCATCCGGCATGTAGGGCGATGTATAAATGCAAGATGTTGTTTGCCAAAGGTTAAAATGAAGTATTGCAATCCGCAGTTTGGCAACCTTTATAAAAGGAAAGATTTGGCTTATCAAAAATGTCACCAGACACCTGCCTCTGGCCCCACCTGTTCCACTGCCAGCCTCAACATCCTAGCTCTCTCCTATCACAACCCAAGCCCTGAAAATCACCCTGATACAACAGCTACCTTTGCTGCCACATTTCGGGCTGGCTTCCTCCGTTCCTCAACCCCCCCGCCCACTCAGTTTCTTGAGTTAAGCGCTTGAGACGCCTTCTCAATGTGAAAGGTCTTTATGGATGTAAATTGTTTTCAAAGTTCCATTTGTCCTTAACTGATGCTATTTTTATAATAATAATAATCCTTGCATTTGATATAGCACTTTTCACGTCTTCGAGACGTCTCAAAGCGCTTCACAGAATAGACGTAAAGTGAATTGACTGTATATTTTGTGGGTGAAATGTGGCAGCAAATTGCACACAGCAGTGAGCGTCCCACAAACAAGTCATGGATTGAGTGACCAAATTATTATTGTTTTTTTTTCTTGAGGGATTATTATTAGGTGTGTGGAGTAACAAAACCTGCCCAAGGTTTCACCTGCCGGGAATCGAATTTGGGTCTCTCTCTTGCAAGGCGAGTGCTCTAACCACTGAGCTATAGGACTTATGATTATGTGAGCGTTGGGATGCCCAAGGTTGTTAAGAGCTAACATTGGCTTTGTGATATCAGATTATTCAGCTTCCATTAGATAAATTGCTTGTCTGATTATCAATTCATTTTGATCCAGAAGATATGGATTTTAGTTGTGGGTCATTTTTTACCTTCTCTTTTGATGACTAATTGAAGCTGCTTGGATCGTGAAGCTGTGTAATTGTGTTTTGTTCAGTTGTGTGGTGCTCCAATTTACTGATGCCTCTCAGCTGGTGAAAATCTGTATATGCAGATCGGTTTATTTGACAAACTGCTTTGTTTTTCAGAAATGTTTTATTTGCTCATACGTGATAGTCCCCCTGAGTCATCGCTCACTCCTTCATAGATAAGCTTGAGAATGTCCAGTTTCCCCTCCCCCTCATGCATGTACGCACAAACTACACGGACACACACACACTAAATGCCATAGGTTAGCTGATTGCAGTGTGCTCCAAGCTCTGTAATGTGAACAAAAGAAATGTGGGTATGTTCTATGTTGCTGATGGAAGTTGATATTGTTTGTTACTTTAGAATGTCTGCACGAGTGCTACTCTGCATTGAACTTCTGTATGAGACAATAGCAAATTACACATGTATAGTGCCTTCCACGTCAGGAGGTCATCCCAAGGCAGTGGGGCGTCCTCATTGAAACTGCCTTATTGTTGTATTATATAATTTTATTAATAACTGAAACTCCAACCAATATTTCAGAACTGGTATGAGTGCAAAATCAGTGCAGTAAAATGACCTTCCTCTAAGGCTTAGTATGTAATGTTGATTACTTGCATCAACTGGATTTAGATTTTTTTTGTTTTTGCTCTGCAGTGTCTCGCAGAAGCAGTGAGGAAATTAAACGTGAAATCACGGCTGCAGATGGCTCTACCCCAACCTCACTAATGGGAATGGGAACCACATCGCCACAACTGTCCTTGTCATCTTCATCTCCCACCGCATCAGTCACTCCAACTGCTCGTAGCCGCCTCAGGTAAGAATCGTGCAGAGTCAATCATCGAAGCTGTTTCACAGTGTGTCGCGGCACATGTTCAATTCCACTTAAAAACATTTTTTTTAAAAAAAAGCAGCCTAAGATTCTTTTGTAAATAATGCATTGAAATCAATAATGATCCTTACTTTTGACTTAAACCTTAAAAATATAGAATTGCAGGCTCTTGTCCCCTTCTAGGTATTAGTATATGATTGTGTGACATATACCGTGGTGTGTCTATTAAAACGTTCCACGGTTCCTTCCTAATCTTGAGCATGTCTCTAATCCAGGGACGTGATTGTGTGAAGGTTATGTTGCAATAAATTCCTAAATTATATTTTAAAAATTCTCCTTTAATCCTGGGCAAGGTATGTTTCAAAGTTCCACTGTTTTTAAAACCTTGATCTGATTCAGGCAGATTCAAAATCCCAATTGTTTGCAAATCAAAATACTTCAAGAAGACAACTTGGTTTAAACAAAGTTTCAGCAAATGTCAGACTATCTACTCAACATCGTCTCTGTCTGCTTACCATCTGGTTTCTCTGTATTGAAAGACATTTATTATTGAAGTTTACGTTCAAGCTCAGAACTTGTCATTTATGCCGATATAACAATGTTTTTATTTTGGACAGAGAGGAAAGGAAAGATCCATTATCAGCGTTAGCCCGTGAATATGGAGGCTCAAAGAGAAATGCATTGCTGAAGTGGTGTCAGAAGAAGACTGAAGGTTACCAAGTAAGCTTTGAGTAATGCTTGACCTTTTTTTCTACAGGTATGTGAAGCATGGAATCTTGAAGGGGTATGGGCATAGCACAGGGCAGCCAATTGGCCTCCTTCTGTTCTGTAGAATTTATGATTCTATGATTCTTCCTTATTTACGAAACAGCTTTAAGCTTTATGTTATGAAACATAAAGACAAATATTGGTAGATCTTCAAACTGAACACTTTAAATGACAGGTGCCCAGACTCTAAACTTTATGCTGCTTCATGCTAAATTGGATTCCGCAAGCCTTACATTCTGTCGGTCCAGCATTAGTGAATATAAAGGAAACCTCCGGTTCTCAGAATAAATGTACCTGCAATAATTTTATCACTTTAATTTTTACTTTTCACAAATAGACCAGGTTCAATTTACAGCTATGGAGAATCATTACCAGACATTGATGAGATATTGCTTGCTAAACCTGCAAATTGAGACATTTTCTTTTGGGGATTTAATATTTTAATTGCCATATTAATGGCTAAGTGACATAAACTGCAATTTGGGAAAGCAGCCAAGCTGACAATTTCACATCTCGATATTGACCTAAAAGTACTAGCAATTTCACCACAGCAAAAAAAGTGTTGTGAGCTTTTTGTATACTTTGTAAATTAAATAACAACTAGTACAGACAGCAGCACTGCTGGGGTCTAGGAACTGGTCACATTCCTGCCTTTCCAGACAGTGAAACTAGTCAGACGTGTGACACACATTAGGATGAAGGTAGAGATAACCATTTTTTAAAAAATTGGCTGAGGAAATAATGATTTATTGAGATAATTATGAAAATGTAAGAACTTGTTTTGTATGTTTCAATACATCCATTTTGTAATATACCTTCAGCTCAGGATGTAGAGAAAGGAACATGCTGACAATCACATCGCTGCTGTCATTGTGTGACTGAAGACCAGCACCTGCCACAGGGTGGCTGTGATATAGGAAGAGGTCATTAGCCTTGGAACTGGCGAGAGATAATTTCCTCTTCATTTCAGCCAGTTGGCTAGGAAACTGTCAAATTCTGGTTATTAATTGTGTCTATGAATGTCTCCAATCACATCTCGTTAGACTTGTGCAAAGATTTTATTCACTTGTGCGTGCAGCTCCTGCTGTACTGTTGCGTGACCAGTAACAAATATACAAAGCAGATAATCTATTCTCTAAATATAGTGCAACATTCACTTCAACAAGAAAGAAAAAGATAGAAAATGTATATGGACATTCACATATTTTGTGTATTATCTGTTATATTATGGGACTTGGTAAGCTTAATGAGAGATTATTAAATATAAAATAGTTAGGATTATACTTACGCATTTTTCATTTGAAATCATTTGCTTACAAACTAATTTCATCCTCCGCTGAGTTGCTTCATTTTGTACTGCGGTACTCAAGAAAATAAGTCAGAAAACCCTTAGAAGGGAGAGGTGTTACTTGGTATCCAAAAGATGCGACAGAATTGGCTAAAAATCTGCTTTTTTAACAAATCTACATTTTTTTTGCACCAGTCTGGGTAAGTTTGTGTAGAAGCAATATTTTGTTTCCAGTAGTGATATTTATGTGTCGCCCCCATAGCAATCAAGAAACATTTACTTGGCCATCAAGCCAAAAAGGTTGGTCACCACAGCTTATGAAGCTTCAGTGCATTTAATTGAGATAATTGCAAGATCTGGAGACAGGAAACGGTGCCCGAATACAAACAAGGGAGCCGGTCAATAAAGATGTATTCAACAATCTGTAATTTGTATATAATCTGTACAGATTTCACTTGATTAGATCACTGTGAGATTTAGTTATAGTTGTAGATTATGATCTTGAAAAATTGATTCCTGATTCGAATGAAAGAAATCCAAAGAATCACTTAATACTTGGAGACGGAATTGGTGAGAAGGGAGGAGTTCAGCTGATAAAAAGAGATGTTCTTGGAATTCCGTGCAAGCCAAGGTACCTTTTCTTATTGTTGACATATATAATAATATTAATAATATGTTGTCATGAGAAGGAACAAGATATATTAAGATGGTTTCAAATCATATTTTGCATTGTGATTTATCATAATTTTCAGAAGCGGTGATTATGTTCAATGACAAAGCCATTGACAATGCCCTTGGTGTTTGCCAGAATATTGTGAAGCCTCCTTCTATTTGCCTACAATATAATACCTGCACTTTGACACATTCTCAATTTTATAGACACAATTATAAAATGCAACACCTAAGCACCAAAAATATATACACACACAGTCTAAACCTTAAGAACACATAATAATAAATCTATAATACAAAATTAGCAACTGTTCTGATGTACTAGCTGAAAGCTACATATCACTATAAAGGCTTGTGAGAGAAAAAACGAGTGATGCACACACAGAACAAACCCACAGGGAAATGGAAAAGGATAGAGAGGAGGACAAAATTAGAGAAAACTACAAAGGCACAGAGATAACACAAAACAGAGACTTGTTCACACAGTATACTTATGCTTACTAACCGCTTGCTTCCTCAGACCTTTGATTCTAAGTAAGCCCTAGTGCCCTTGCTGGGTGGGCAGTTTGCAAATTGTTATAGTAGAGACACATGCTCGATAATGGAGATGACATGTTAAACAGAGTGTGGGAATCAAGCCAGTCCTCTGTGGCGGTCTCGTAGGCTGGGTCTTGAGCCAGGTGTATCTGTGGTACTCCAGGGCATTGATGATGGTATCACAGCCAACCTCTTATCACAGAACTTGGAAGGGCAGACCAATCACTGAGGACGAGACTCTTCCCATTAAACCTACAAGCCAAAGACCTAACGGGGAAAACTTGCCAGACAGCGTTCTTAATGGCAAGCTCTGCAGTTTTAGCTGGCTACATTCCAGGAGTTACTCCAGTGCACACTCTAAGGTCCCCAAGCCTTGGCTCTTGCCAGCCTGCTCCTAATACGTTCTGGAATTAGGTAAGCAGGACGCATCCCTCCAGGGAGAGAGTGTGCATTCCACCCCAACACATGTCTGCAATTTTCGTGTATAGTGGGAATACAAGGAACTCTGGTTTGGAGACTCTTAAGCAGGTAATGGGTTTCCACATGAGTCAGACACCCAGCTGACCCAAAAATAATTATAGGAGAGAGATGCAAAAGAATAGATAGGAACCAGTTAGTTTCCATGTCAAACTTCAGTAATATAGAATGCTGGTTGTTTCCGATGAGATGTAGACATTTCCTCAGAGGATGAATAATTAAATCAGAAGAATGGAATCTTCATTTTATTAATAGGAAATTTTTTGTTTGCAAAGAAACAACCTTTTTCAAATTAACTCTGTCACAACCACCTTGAGCAGTTTTCATCAGACGGCTAATGTTCTAGAGATTTGCCATTTCAAATTAAATTACGTTGAAGTTGCATTAAAACCAATCGCTGCGGGCTAAAGTGGGCCGTCACTAACCAGACAGACATTATTGCAGTTCTTAATAACAGCATTTTGTGTCTCTTTACATAAATAAGAGCTTGGTTGGGACTGAGCTAATGCATTTATGATGTCCATGCTTCTCAATAGAGTTGGAACAAATGTGCAGTGTTAAAGCTGTGACTATTTTTTTTTAGAGTTGGTACTAAAGTATAGACTTCAAAGCTCTATTCTGTCATCATACACTTCCTTCAGCATTCACTCCAGCTCACCTACATTTGATCTCCTATTAGGACATCATTTTAATCTTACTGATAACCAAAATGGCCTTTAACAATTTGAGCTAGACTTCAATTCTAATTAGGAATGTGAGATGGGATGAAACGAGAAAAGGTTATTTAGCTGAACCTAGCAACTCAGCTGTAATGTATGCTGTCATGAATTTGCTGAAGAAGGAATACAACCACAAGTAATGCTAGGGATCTAATTTTGTAGCTATATAATGATGGTAGACTATCATGGTACATGTGGTTAGTGTTCCAGTCGCATTAATATATCTCTAAAGAGACTAATGTTTCTTCTTCTTAGTGTTGGCTACAGATAAAAAACACAAGTTAGAAATTGTTGTCATTGCATTATCATAAATCCCGAGAGGTTTAGATGAACAAGGCCGTTCATTTACAACAGTGACTTGCATTTATATAGCGTCCATTGCTCGGGGTAGGGTGGCGTAGCTTAATGCCGAGCGGGGGGGAGGTGACCTTAGGCATGGTCGAAGAAGAGGCTCTCCGGGTGAGATCGGCAGACTGGGAAAGAAGAGGCAAGGCAGAGATTGAGGAAACGTTCCATAGTTTTGGGTGTAGTGGCTGAAGTCATGGCTCCTGGTTGTGGAGCGGAGGAGATGAGGGACATGCAGAAGGCCGGAGCCAGCTGAGCAGAGTCAGGTTGGATAAGTAGGGAGCTTCCAGGGCATGAAGTGATTTGTAGACGAGTAAATCTTAAAATCGATCCGTTCTGTGATAGGAAGTTAGTGGAGCCTGACAAGCACTGGGATGATGGCGGTACAGAGTTTGGTTCAGGTAAGGATACAGGTGGTGGAGTTTTGAATTAGTTGTATTATGTGAATGGTGGAGCTGCAGAGAGCGGCAAGGAGGGCGTTGGAATAATCAAGCCGGAGGTGACAAATGTGTGGATAACAGTTTTGGCTGCGTTGGTGTAAGGTACGTTTGGAGGCGGGCAATGTGACAGATTTAATCTTATATTTCCAGAATAACAATCCTACTACCTGCTTAGTACTGCATAAAGCTGTTTCGTAAATGAGGCAGCGTTCCATAGTTTTGGGGCATAGTGGCTAAAGTCATGGACGCCGATGATGGAGTGGAGGGGATGAGATACTTTAATCCACTTTTCTGGTTAGCCATTCCAGCTACTATTTGAGGTTCGTGCTCTCGGCACTTTTTCTGCAGTGCAGGACCCACCCTCCCCACCAGAGCTCGAGCAGAATTTAGTAATGTGGCTCCACGTTATAATAATAATATAATAATAATAATAATCCTTGCATTTGATATAGCGCTTTTCACGTCGGGAGGACG